ATTTCCAGTGTGACGAACAGGGAGATGGGCACAAGGGAGGAGAACAAAACCCAATATGTGACCATGTCTTTGAAGAACGTCTTGATGATATCGTTTGCAGAACCGGTAGAGTCAAGCATCAGGTACTGGAGAGCTTCGCCCTCAACCTTGCGCTGAACAAGATCGCCCACTGTGCAAATGACGCTAAGCACAAGGAGGATACCGACCAGCACGAGAACAAGAATGTTCAGTTTCTTTTCGACCTTTGTGCGCTTGATGGGTGCGGCCGTGGCGTTACGCATGAGCTTTGTCTCATGTCCAGTGAAAACAACCACACCATGGATCCAGGGCGTATTACGAAGAGTGGCACCTCGAAGGAGAAGCTGCTCGGGGTTGAGGGGCAGTTCTTTTTCACCGCCACCAGCTTGCATCGTCAGAGTGGCCTCATACGTGTACAGACTGCTGTTGGGCTGTTCAGACTTGATTCTTCCTCCGAGCCGACTCAGATCGCTGGAGCTGACCATCGTGCATGTCTCAGGCAATGCCTGCTTGATCTTCAAGTTTGTTTCTCCGTCGAGGTTGGCTGTTTCGATGTAGCAAAGTCCCTCGGGCTCGGAACTGGCAAGCAGGACCAGATCGGCAGGGAAGGGCTCTTCAGATTCGACGCGGATGATGTCTCCGACCGCAACATTGATCCACTTGGACTCCTGGAAGGCGGTTCCGCGTAGGATGCGGGCCTTGGATGTGTTCAACTGGTGGTCGGCTTGCTTTCTTCGGTAGTCCTCCACCAATTCCTTGCCTGCCGAAACCATCATGACGATAAAAAGCGGGATGATGGTAGTGTATCTGTTGGTAGGCGAGAGGTTGGGAATCTGCTGTAGCGCAGCCGTGAATAGGAAGAAGATATTGGCGAACTTTGAAAACTGTTCGAAGAGGAATTTCGGGAGGAAGGTTGCGACGTTGTACTTGGCCGTCGAGATATGGTTGTCGACATACTTGTTCGCTGCGTTCGCGGGCGGGTTGTTGAGATGGATCAATCTCGGACCCAGAGTCGAAGGATCCGGCTTCTTTCCTCCAAACCCAAACTTGAAGTTTCCCATGTCGAACTTCTTGCCCCCCTTGGCTTGCGCATCGATACCAGAGTCGGTCCGTCCGTTGCCGCCGGCTTCCGTCAAGGGCAAGTCCATCTCCGAGTATCCTTGGCCCATCCCCAGCTTATTCTTCATGCGACCAAAGAAGCCTCCACCCAAGCTCAGGACGCTGTTACGGTTCCGAGCGTTGGACCTCGCGGAGGGGTCTCCGACATTGTTTGTACTCGTCGCGGCGCCGCCTTGTTGGTAGTATGATTCGCCTTCGGCCGAGTAGTCGTCAAAGTCGTCGGCATATCGCTGGTAATTGTTTAGTTCTGACGTTTGACTATAGTGTCTCTGCATGTATGGGCCAGAGGATGCGCCGCCAGGGACGCCAGGCGATTGAGGGCCGCCAGGTAACGGTCTCAATGCTGAGGGTTGCTGTGTGTGATTCCCTCCTCCTCCACCACCTCCTCCACCTCCTCCTCCTCCGCCGCCAACAAAGTCATCATACGAAACGGAGGGTCGGCCCTGGGCCTGGTCTTGATCGTGATTGTAGGAGCGTAAAAGGTCGTCGTCGTGCATGTTCGATCGCTGTCCTGCATTGTATGTCGGTTGCTCGTTGTCCAAGTCTAGTAGCAGGTCGTTATTCGAGGGTCCTCCTGGAGGACCACCCGTAGGTCGTCCAGTCATGCCGGAAGGGCTGGTAGCGTTGCTAGGCGATCAAGTTGCAAGTGTCGGAATGGCCAGCATGCGAATTTCGGGGTGATTGGATTACCGTCGTGTTTCCGGACACATGAAGGGAAGAAGCGATGCAGTCGAGAGGGTGTGGTCGCGAAGGCAATTTGGCAGCCTAATGGATGGATGATGGAGATTCGTATCGGCAGCAGCAGCGTAGCTAAAGGCGACGACTACGACGACAACGACAATCGGCAGTGAAAGCGACGCCGCAGCTGGGCGTTTGCTGAGGGTAGCTGATGTGGTGGGAAAAAAAAGAAGTGGCCCAGCAATCCGTATTTGTTGCAGCACAGCCTCCTTCTGGCGCAGGATTAGGATTACACAGTGGTCGGCTTGCGCTACGTCAACGGGCTGAGTGCGCAAGTGTACCGTACTTGGTCGCCGGGTGAAGAAGAGAGTAGTGGCCGAGAGACGGTCCCCGGTGGCAGTGGCTCGAGAGGCAAAGCAACGCAGTCGCTATGATTGGCTTGTAACGGTCGAAGAATTTCACAACAGGCGAGGTCGTCTTGAAGACCGTTGAGAGGCCGAGAAGTAAGGTGATGTGAGGTGTTGTCGGCGGGAAGGGTAGGATCTGCGGAAAGTCGTGTTTGAGGTGTTGGTGGTGCTTGAATGGGGTGAATTGGGGGGGGGGGGGGGGGGGGGGGACTCGGGAGACAGCGCAAGGGAGCCGGCCGGATGAGACTGGAAGCTAAACACGCAGCAGCAAGTAGCAGCAAGGCGTTAGACTGGGCGTAAGGTTGGTAGCGTGGGGTTTTCGGGGGGGGGCGCAGGGCAGCAGCAGTAGCACCAGTGGCAGCAGCAGCATCAAACAGTGCAGATTGGAGACACCAAACCTCAATGAGGTGGACGGGAAGGGGTCGAAAGGGTCTCGTTGGCTTGAACTGCCTTGCTTGCGGTACCTTAGGTACGGAGTATTTGCGTGGTCCTTTGCATCTGGTTCCAGCTGGCATTTCCCTCAGGCAGGCGTGGCAGGTATCCGTACTCTCGTTTCCATCTCCGTGCTTTCCTGGGCCGTTTTGCTGTGAGACTACAACTGGGCAATGGGATTGGGTGGACTTGGTTTTGGGACCGCAGCTCCACCAGAAGGGGGCACGTGTGGGCCTGTTGCTATTCTGAATCCTTGGAAGGCCGTTTAGTTGGCTGGGCCTGGCATTAGCTGCATCTTTTCTTCCTCCACGTCCTGATCCTCTCTGCTCTCTTCGTACCGGATGCGAGACCACAAGCTGACAGCGACAGCGAGAAGTTTAAAGAGCTGCGTCAACCTCCAGCCACACCAACCCACGACGACAGGGCGAAGCTGGTGGATGTCGGCAGGAATGCCCGCCACGCCACTCTCAGTCAGTCAGCCTGCACTGCTGCAGCCTGTCTGCGTTTTCCCCTCAACGCTAGACACTGTCGCCAATCGAACGCTCAATCGAGACGTAAGGGGCGGACGGACGTCTCGCACGGAATCTCGGGACCCCGTCACATTTAGCCTCCTCTGACACGAGCCAACCTCAGAGTCCGCTTCTGCTCAATGCTCGTACGGATAGGCAAGTCATAGGGCACAGAGTATGCCCGCTCAGACCCCAGTAGCTCCAACGACCGCCTAGCCGACGCCAGGACCAGCGTGTAAAACGGCCAATACGGAGTACACCAAGACCTACGGCTACAGATACACGAGGACAGATGATGGACAATGGAGACGGAGGAGCAATGCCCAGGCTGTTCAGCAAGGTTTGATCAGGGTAGGACTTAAGCATCATCTCCCGTGCCATCATTACAGAACCTGTTTCTCTTGGCCATTCACTTCTTTTGAGTCGTTTCCGCCCCGATGATCTGTGATTACCTGTGGAGTACGGATATGCTACTCTCGCTCATCCCAAGTGAACAGACGAAATTTGACCCAACCACGGCAAATTCTTTCACCCCAGTAACCCCCGGCATTCTCCAAGATGCTGAAGAACTTGATCAAAGAAAGACCCATTTTCAATTCCAAAAGTGGCTGGGGTCCCCGTATGCGTATAGCGAGGAAACAATTCGACAACAAAGTGACCCCCCTATTGTGGCTACCGCGTGTGCTGGGCCAACGGTCCCAGAGCCTACACTAGAGGTCCAGACAATCAGAACGTCCAATGTCGTCCACGCGTTCCCCGGGGCAGACATTCCAATCCCAGCCCGGCCGGTGCTGGACCCACCCGAATATCGACGGACCCACTCGGGGAAACTTCAGTTTTCAGCACGGACCAGCGTCTCGCTGCCCTGCGACGTTGCGTCACTTTCAGCTCTGTTCCAGCCACATCTGTTATCATATCTTACCTCAGCCTTATCACTTGCAACCCCAGCCACTCGTCCCTCTCTGCCATCCAGTCCCTCGACCATCACAACCAACGCAGCCTTTCACGATTGCGACTCCAATCACTACTGACAACAACAACAACCCTCCACCGAATCCAAACCCATCCCCGAAATGGTCTGCACAAAGTGCCAAAAGCTCGGCAAGGGCTCCACGACCCTCGTGACGCCCTCCGTCAAGAAGAAGAGCGAAATCTACCACGGTTCCTCCTCTTCGTCTTCGTCGTCCTCCGCCACAAAGTCCGCAACGCTGGGCACGACCGGCATCGGCAAGAGCAAGCTCCTCTCCAAGGCCGCCAAGAACCCCTACGCTCAGTATTCGAGCGCCTGCTCAAAGTGCAAGACAAAGGTCTCCCAGGGTCACTCCCTCTGCCAGTCGTGCGCCTACCGAGCCGACTCGTGCGCATCGTGCGGCAAGCCGAACAAGAAGGCCAAGGGCGCTGCCCCGTCGATTGCGGGACAGAAGTTTACGTTGAAGTGAGAGGGCGTGGTAGATGATGGACGAAACGGAACAATGGTTACATCATAACATACCAACGTCGTCGAAATACTTCACACGATGCCTTCACGACGCGCACCTTAGATGCGACCAGAAGCTGGGAGTCGATCAGCTCGCAGGGAACCATGAACTGCAACGACGAGGCATTGCCCGGCGATTTAGACTCTGCGCCTCCAAGCAGCTCACTAACACACGATACACGGCTCAATACACGCCAGGTCAGAGACGGGATGCAACAGGCGGCAGGCCTTCATTACCAGTCCAGTAGTAGGCAAGAATCAGGCGCGAATCACGGGGGTCAAGCAAGACATGTCATCTCACGACATCTGACATCACTGCTTCATCCCAAGCAAGGCCACAACGGTGCGAGGTACAGATAGTCATAACTCCAAAGAAAGACCTCAAGGATCAATCAACGCACAAGCTTTGCTTGGTCAAGATTCTGGAATCCATTCTACATTGGCCGTTCACTAATCGTGCCCGAAACCGTGGTTCATCCCTGCCTGTCATACATATAAACGTTAACGTCAAATCCAACCTCGCGCGGCCCTTCCTTCAAGAACCGCATTTCTTCTTTGCTTTTTTTTTCTTCGTCCCCCTCAGAAAACTACTCACAACGACGCCGTCGGCTTCTTGTCGACCTTGCTCTCGATCCACGCCTTGATCTGCCTATTCACCTCCTCAGGCGCCTCCCACAACGCCCAGTGCGTCGCCGTCACCTCGCCCCTCGACAGGTCCTCAAAGTGCTTGTCCATGCCCGCCGCCATGGCCGGCGGTAGCGCCGCGTCCTTTGTCGCCGAGATGAAGAGACTGGGCGGCGTCACCTTGTACGCCTCGCCGCTCTTCTCCGCCGCCTCCGCGAGCGGCAGCTCCTCGTCGTGGTCGATCTTGCGCGTGCGGTACCAGTTGGTCGGCCCGCGCATGCCCGACTTGCTGAAGTTCTCGGTGTAGTACGCAATCTCCTCCTCGGACAGCAGCGGCGTGGGGCCAATCTTGCCGATATTCTCCCAGATGATGCCCCGCTCCGTGTTAAAGACGAGCTCGCCCGCGGGGCCCTTGCCGCCGTAGATCCCTTGCAAGAACTGCCGAATGTCCTCGGGCTTGGTGAGCTTCTCGGGCACCTCCTCGCTGCGCAGCTGGAGCTGGTACTTGAAGTTGGTCAGGCGGCCCGCGGCGATGACGTCGGCGAGGTCGAACCAGGCCGTCGTGGGTGCGATGTAGGGCGTGCAGACGCTGAAAACGCCCTTGATCAGGGACGGGTGCCACATGGCGAGCCGCCAGACGAGCGCTCCGCCCCAGTCGTGGCCGCCGAGGATGATTTGCTCGCCCGGGATGATGCTGTCGCAGAGCGCCTTGATGTCGTCCGACATGCTCTTGATGGAAAAGGCCTCGAGCTCGGCCGGAGAGGCCGTCTGGCCGTAGCCCAGCGCGTCCGGGACGATGACCTGGTAGCCCTGGGCGAGGAACATGGGGATCTGGTAGCGCCAGCCGAGCGAGATGTCGGGGAAGCCGTGGATGAGGACGACGGAGCCCTTGGGGGCCGCGTCGCCTTCGGGCTTGCTGTAGAGGTAGGAGTAGGTCTTGCCCCTGACCTCAGCCTGCTTGCGCTCGACGCGCGGGTCGTTGGGGGCGATCTTGTCGACGGCCATCGTGACGTGTGGGTGTGTCAGTGTCCGTATATCAGTATGCGAGGTTTCCGTCTGGAGTGAAAGCTGTTAGAGGCTGTGGCGAAGGATGGGGGGAAGAAAGAAGAAGCAGGAGGGACAGCTAGCAGATGGCGGGGTCCGCGGGACCCTTATACTCACGTTGGCTCTCGACGTCTGCCAAGGAAGGGACCCTTGCTACAACAGCTCCGGGACCGATTGTAAGCTCCCTCACAAAGCTATTGCGGGGAATAATGCAAGATAAGGTGTGTGTGTGTGTGCAGCTTCACCGACAACTGTACTACGAGATTGTCGAAAAGACAAAACTACTTATACCATTCAAGGTATCGCCGAGTCTCCGAGTTATGGAGCTAAATATCGCACTTTGAAACTCACCCGGTTGCTTAGAAAGCTATAGAAACTGACCACCCAAGAAAGAGTAAGAGAAAAACATACGAGCGGTGTACTTTGAGCCTCGGCATAGAACGTCCCATCATTTTCGGGTCTCTCCCCAATGGTTTTTGCCCACTGAATATCATCGACTTGTTGGCGCCCACGCAACCAAGCTCTGGGTCCAGCGTATGGGGAGGAGTGCAAGGTGAGGGGTGCAAGGTGAGGGGTGCAAGGTGAGGGGCACGGCTTTGAGTTGACAGGGGACCTGACGTGCGGCGAGCGGCGGCATTGGCGAACGGCATGGCCGGGCATCCACCCGCGCGGGGGCATCGCCTTTGCTGTCCATCGGAGTCCCTTGATGGAATCTTCCTAGCGGGCCCCGTCCGTGCTGTTGCGATGCCTCGGTCCAGGGACAACTTAGAGACAAGGGGACTCGCCATTGTCGGACGGTACTCGAAACGGAGGTTGATCAATGTTATGTTCTCCAACAATTGGTTCAGAGTCGGAGATCGCATTCTCCTCACCCGAAAAGCGTAAACTGCCAGTCACCCAGTCTAGACTCTAGACGAGGGGCTAACAATTCTTCAACGGCAAGGAACAGCTGTTCTGGACTACGAGGTCCCACCGGGCTAAAGCAGGAGAACGTCACTGGTCTTATGCTTGAGTCAGAGAATATGGCTCGACGTAGTAAGCCCAACGAGTCGGCGAACAAAGTTGGTCTGAATCCCGTTTCTGGAACCAAGCTTCTCCTTTTTTTCAATATCACCATGGTCACCTTTCCCAAGTTAATGCCGCTTTGAATTCCGATTGGTATCATAAACCCCCCAACTCCGCCTTCCAACTCGCGCTCAAAGCCAGACAAAATAGCAGACCTCCCATATCGCCGAATATTATGATGATCACATAAAGTACGGCAGTAATGGCGTCTTCTGCAATAAAACGCCGGGAAACAAAAGAGGAAAAAACACCACGCGTTTTTGTCAGGCATTAGTAAATAACCATATCCTCGTCATTTTCCACGACATCACCAGGTTCGTCGTGTGCCTCCCGCTCATGTTTGTCTCTGTCGGGAGACGCAACGGTGTGGTCAGCAGCTGCGGGAGCATCAGCAGGAGCCTCTGACGGTGCTTCTGCTAGTTGTTCTTCTATGACCATGGGCACAGGCTCCTCCTGGGCCATCGTCGGCGGTCTCGCGCGACCGTGGCGTCTCTCGTGTTCTTCTTTCCGATATTTGAACGATTCAAGTTCTCTCGCGATGGTGTCCTTGGCGTCTTGCACCTGGTCGTCAATCTCGTCTTCTTGTTCTTTGGTAAGCTTCCACGGTCGATAGTACTGCAACACGTCAGCTTATGGCTTCCCCCTTGCACAACATGCACCACGCACAATTGATGGTCCTGCTTTCGTCCTGAGGGATTGTGCCTTTGCGAGCATGTTGGTATGTCGGCTTTTCATCTGCGGTAAATCACGACTTGTAAGCACTGGGATGAGGCCCGCAAGGGAGAGGAGGGGAGAGGGACAAGCACGTACGACTTTCTCGTCAAACAAGATTTGCTCCTTCCACCGCGCCTCGGTGATCCGCGCGAGCTTCTCCGTCCGCCTCTTTTCGTCTTCTGCCCTCTGCTTTTGCGCCTTCTCCTGCTGTCGCTGCTCAATCTCCCTCCTCTTCTTGTGCTGCGAGCTAGAGTTGGTCTGGCTGAGGGTGCTAAGGAGACCTCCGAATAACCGCTTGCCCCGCTTCTTCTCTTCATCCCTTGACAGAGGCGCTCGTCGAGCGGTGCTAGCTTGGGAATCTTCGTCGCGCGGCCTCGAGTCCTGTGTCGAATCTTGTGCGAGCGGATCGCCGTGGTCGCCATCATCGAATTTTCCTCTTTTTGATGGTTCTTCCGCTCCATCAAGGGAGTCTATCGACGCTTTCCGCTTTTGTGTAACCTCCATCTCAGAGCTCGCGGGTTCGGGGTTGATGGTGTCGGCAGGTGCCCTGCAATCTGTAAGCTTCTCTCGCTCGGTCCGAAGGGAGCCATTCTTGCTGTACTCCGTAACTGTGGCCATAATGAAATCGCTTCCCAACCGTCGTGATCGGTATCTACTCGGCAGCAATGTCAAAGAAAGCAAAAAGCGAAGGAATATGGTGTGCACAAGAAGAATCGAATGCGCCTCATTCCCATGATAGATATTCTGGAGCTTGAGAGCTCCAACCCCGAGCTCCAAGGCTGAGGTTTGTCAGCGGGGTCCAGCCACTCGGAGGGACGAACCCACAGACTACCCCACTTCGGCCGGATCAGACAAGGGTCCGTACCAATGACCGACAGAGAAGCGCGAGGAAGAAGTGGCGAGGCTGACAGGCGCGAACGTCTTTTCTCCAGGTTCCTGGTGAAGAGAGGATACGATAAGCTGCGACTTGCGACCATCACCTCCCGCGCCCCGCAAAACAACCTCAACCAAACCTCACATTTCAGAGGCGCTCTTCTAATAGATCGCCCATCATGTCGCGCCATCATCCGTAAGTCTATCCCCATTCAGACCCCTAAAAACTCTCGCACACACAAGCTAACACATACGCCCAGCGATCTCGTAATGTGCCGCAAGCAAGCCGGCATCGCCATCGGCCGCCTCTGCGACAAGTGCGACGGCAAATGCCCCGTCTGCGACTCCTACGTCCGCCCCACGACCCTCGTCCGCATCTGCGACGAGTGCTCGTTCGGAAACTACCAAAACAAGTGCGTCGTCTGCGGCGGCGAGGGCATCTCGGACGCCTTTTACTGCTTCGAGTGCACGCGCCTCGAAAAGGACCGCGACGGGTGCCCCAAGATTATAAATCTCGGCAGCTCCAGGACCGACCTGTTCTACCAGAAGAAAACCAATCGGACGGCGACGTACTAGCCCCTGCGTCGCCCGGGATATGGGCAAACTGGTGTGTTGTTTGTAACTGCGAGGAGAGCAGAGGAGGAAGGGAGTGCAAAGTATCGCGGGAAACAGGTATCGCATTGCCTGCGGCGTTTGGGGTGTCTTGGTTCACAGATATGGGACAAGGGTTTTGCGGCATAATTGACGACAAGTCAGACATGATAATCTTCTTCAAGAGTAGCATGAAACGGTTTCACCAAACAAAAGAAATGGTTCATTTTTCATCAAATATCAAAAAGAATGGCCAAACAATTAGGCCCATGTTCATCCAAGTTCGTATAGTACAGTGAGGTCAAAGCTAGCCAAGTACCCGCGTCGTAATCATATGTAGCTAACCTTGACTCCCATTCCCGCGGTCGCCTTGACCTTGTTCCAACCATTACCAAGCACACGCTGTATCCGTTCGCGGACATTCTTCTGCCCAAACATGACGACCAACCCCAAAATAAAGGCCACGAGCCGCATCAGCAGCATCGGGTTTGTCTTAAATGATGCTCCCAGCTGGTCAATCACCTCGCGCATCCGAGAGATGACCATTGACGCCCTCGTTCCAAAGGTCGGCGGAGCTGAGGGTTCGCCTTTTGCCCGGGAGACGGGCATTTTCGAATTAGAGTTCGACCCTGATGTGTTGGAAACGGCCCTGGCGTGACGTCCCTTGCTTGACCCCGCCTTGCTCGAGCCTGCTTTACTCGGTGTCTTTTCGATGCCGTAGTCTCCCTCGGCGCCTTCTCTCCGTGCCCGCTCTTCCTCTAACCTTCGTCGTTCCCTCTCTTCATTTTCTGCTCTCAGCTTCTTCGCCTCCTCAATATCACGCCGTAGCTGCTCCTCTTGCTCACGTCGCTCTTCCGTCTCTCGCCTCTCGGCTTCTTGCTGTTCCTCCTGCAGGCTTTGTAGAGCTTGCAAAAACGCCTCGCGACGCTCGTCGTCTAGTACCGAGCTGACGCTGATAAACTCTCGGGCATAATCCCATTCATTATTGCGAATAAGTACGTGGAGCGTGTACAGCTCGAGGATCTTGACTCTCGCATTCAGATCTCTCGGTGTATCCGCTCCACTAGTGGCCTTCGCCGGAGACCTATGCCGGTTCAGCCGTGGTGACGGCGATGGCGAGTCGGAAAATCTCTTGGAGAAGTCCAGGTTTGGTGATGTGGCGGCTGCGAGATAGCTCTCGAGCTTCCTTTGGTTCAATTCTTGTGTCCGGGCGTGGGCTAATAAAAGTGTGGCGCTACGTTGTTGTTAGTGTGTGTTTGCAACGAGGAAAAAAACGACGACATAGAGAGCATCTTACAGATTAATGACAACGTCCGAATCGACGTCGCTCTCGACGCCGTGGTATCCGTTGCGTACGACCTCCTCCCAGACGTCTCCTTCCCTGACTTTGGTGCACAGCGATCTCCACTCCTGGCTCCCAAACGCATCCTTTCCTTCGTCCGGCTCCAGTTCGACAATGGCGTTGAGCGTCGTCAGGTACAGGCTCCAGACCTTGATCCTCGTGGATCGCGATGCCCTGGCGACGGGCGCTGGTTCGCCTGCGCCGTTCTCAGACTGTCCCGAGGGCGGGGTGATCAGTGGCAAGATGGTCGATAGTGCCTCGGGTAGACGGCGGGTGAGGAAGAGAGTCGAGGCCTGGCGGTAGGTTTTTGAGATTTGTGAAGTGTGGCGCGCTGAAGTCGATGAGGATAGAGACGAGATGGAGCTCGCGAGCGTATGTGGTGGGAATGTAGCGGTAGTCTCGGAAGAAGCAACCGTGGGACTCAAGGTCGCCGTATAGGAGCCATTGAGGGCCGACATGTTGGCGGGCATTTAGGAGCGGGAAGCAACAGCAGGAAGCAACGGGGTCAATTCGTCGGCATTGAAGAGCCCCAGGTGGAGGGAAATGAGGGAAAAAAGAACGGGGACTATTGTTATGTATCCGACGTGCGGAGAATGGCGGCCATCATACGCGTTCCTGCTCAAATGCCACCTGCGGGTTGTGACGAGAGCCGCGACATGTGGATGTGGTTAGATTCGGGTTCCTGGGCGTTGTGGTGGTGGTGTGTGGTGTGTGTGTGGTAGTGGTGGTGCTGAGTAGCTGGGGGTTGCTGGAGAATGGAGTTGGAGTCTGCTGACAGACAAACATGCCGATTACCGCAGCACCTGCACAGCTGCCCGGGACAGGCACGCACCGGCACGGTTACACTTTTCGGCCATGGCCCAAGTTTAGCCTCGGTTTGTTTCTTAGTGGGTTCCCCCCCAGCTTCTGCGCTGCTGCGTTGTATGCTGCCGCTGGGGGGGGCTGGCCAGCTGACCGCCAGAGCGAGAGGGGAGCGAGAGAGGAGCGAGAGGGGAGCGATAAGCGAGTACCGGTGACGTTGTCGCTGGACAACTCACATGTCAAGTACCTCGTTAGCCTCCACGAGCGCGGTCTTCTCCCGGCGTCCGGCCTTCTTGGACTTCTCATTGGGTGGAGCTTCCTGATCGGAGAGGACGCTGTGCCTGGGTCGGAGAAACAGGGGTTGCCCTCGACGACCGGCCGAGCTTTCATCTCACCTCCCGGAGATCACCAACCATTTAGAGACGATCGGCTCATGCTCGCTGCCGCCTGTCATTTCAAATCTTCGTGTTGTGTTCAACCCGCTAAGTCGGGATTCCCTTCTCAATTACTGTGTTGCTTAGCTGGTTCTATTATGATATGCTATTAATTACCCCTCTCTACTGTCAATCGCAAGTTTGCGGCGTGCGCGAACGCGCTCAGGGTTTAGACTTTTCTTGCCCCCCCCTGTGCTTCCCCAGATTGTTCCGAGGCATCTCGCGGGAGGCAGAACCACCCGGCTCCCGAGGAGAATGTCATCGCCTTCCAGCCCCTGACGCTTACATCGGTGATTTTCCTATTGTGGTCATCGAGAGACCGTCCATCTCTAACGGCTAGCTCCAAAGTGTTATTTTGATGCTCATCTCACGTGGAATTTTCTTCGTTGTGGGGTTCTAGAACAGAACCATCTTATATCCCAGGATTCAGGAATCGCCGAGCCGTTAGAACATACAAGGCTCATATTATAAGCTGATGGAAAGGAGTGACCTTGGAACAACATGTCAAATGCTCTGCCGAATGCCGACGTGGTTTTATTGGGCTTCCGATCAGGTAAGAGGTCACCCCACACAACCGATCACCCAATTTGGCCACTTTTTTTCCTCCTTCAACACCACCACCACTTTCACTAGGTACGTCAAAATCAATCAAAAAAAATCGCAAATATTATACTAAAATTGCCAATAGATTCACTATGGTTAATTATACAGAAGAACAAGTGAAAAACGCGGTTAACGATATCCGCAAGGGCAAGTCGATCCGGAAGGCCTCTACCGACTAGGGAATCCCCTATACGACGCTCTCGGGCCGCATTAACGGCATAACTATACGGCGGAAGTCGAAGGAAGACTACCAGAGGTTAATTAAGTACCAGGAGACCTCCCTAGTACGATAGGTAGTTATCCAAGGAGAATTAGACTCGCCCTAACCTATGCTCAAGTACGAGACTTTGCGATATATATCCTCCGTAGAGGTGGCGATAACCGCCTACTAGGCAGGAAGTGGCTTGAGAGATTCCTACATAGGAATCCCTCGCTAAAGACGCTCAGGGTACGGTCAATGGACTCCAAGTGCGTTAAGTTGGTTACCGTTGAGTCTTTGCAAGCCTTTTGGAAGACTCTAACAATCCCAGAAATCCAGAAGATCCCAATGTCCCTCCGCTAGAATATAGACGAAGCGGGTTTAACGGAAGGGACCAGTAAGAATTATTTAATACTGGGCAAGTCCAATAAGTAAACGATCTATGTCCAGAACCCAGGGGATCGTACTTAGACTACAATACTCGAGTGTATCTCTGCTAGTGGCCGTCACCTTCCACTATTGGTGGTTTTTAAGGGGGAGACGGTCCAGCACCAGTGGTTCCCTAAGGAATTGACGGATTACGCCTCCTGGAGCTTCACATTATCGGCTAATAAATAGGTGGACCTCGAATTCAATTGGCGTGGAATGGCTGTAGAAGGTATTTATACTTGGTACGGTAGAGGAGGCTAAGAGACTGCGCTCCAAGCGGCTCTTGATTATCAAAGGCTATAAAAGTTATAGTTTTAACGACTTTATATGGCAATGTTACTCTTAGGGCATTTAGCTGTATTATTTACTAGCCCATTCTAGCTATATTACGCAGCCCCTATATAGATCTATCTTTTTACTACTTAAGAATATCTACTATAAGCTTACTTATAAATATAGCCTCTAACTTAACTTAGTGCTTATAAGCAAGCAGAACTTCCTATATTATTACTTTTAAGTAACGTACCTGCATAGCGAGCGACGCATCATAGCGAGCGACGCACGTCCTCCCAATTCTACCCTCTTCATCTTTAGGTCACCTTTTCTCCACGTACGAACATGCAATCCTCCTCAATTGAAAGTCGAATTACCCTTGCCCTCCAAGCTATTGAAAAAGACCCGAAAATGTCTATACGAAGAGCTGCCTCTATCTATGAGGTCCCTGAATCAACCCTCCGCCACCGACGCGCTGGACGCGTCGCACGAGGTGAAACACGACCAAATTCGATGAAGATGACTATAACAGAAGAGGAGGTGATTCTTGAACGAGTTATTGACCTAATCGATCGAGGGTTCCCTCCGCGACAAGAAGACGTACGAGAAATGGCCGACCAACTCCTAAACGCACGCGATGGGACGCGTACTGGACCGCGATGGGCAGAGAACTTCGTACGACGCGTCCCTGAATTGAAAATGCGGTTTCAACGTCGAATCGACTATCAGAGGGCCTTAGCTGAGGATCCTACGATTATACAAGGCTGGTTTGCACTTGTGCGAAACACAATTGCAAAGTATGGGATACAGGATAACGATATCTATAATTTTGACGAGACTGGTTTCCTGATGGGAATGCTATCGCACGCAAAGGTTGTTACGACTTCTGACCGTAAGGGAAGGCCTCGTACGAAACAGCCTGGCAATCGAGAATGGGTTTCTGTCATTCAGGGTGTATGTGCGGATGGCTGGGCGCTGCCTCCGTACGTCATCGTAAAGGGCAAATATCACCTCCTCTCGTGGTATATTAATGGCCAATTTCCAGCCACATGGCGTATCCATCCAAGCGAAAATGGATGGACGACAAATGATATTGGCCTAGATTGGCTAAAGCACTTTAATCAGTGTACAAGGACTCGTACGAAGGGCTCTTATCGCCTCTTGATCCTTGATGGCCATAATAGTCATAAATCGACTGACTTTGACGAATACTGCAAGGAACAAAACATTATTGCTCTTTGTATGCCTCCCCATTCATCACACGAGCTTCAGCCTCTTGATGTTGGGTGCTTTAGCCCGTTAAAGTACTCGTACGGCAAGGAAATCGAGAAGATGATGCGGATACAGATTTCCCATATTACAAAGGATGACTTCTTTCCTGCCTTTAAAGCAGCATTCTTTACTTCCATGGGCGAAAATAACGTACGAGCTGGTTTTAGGCAGGCAGGCCTTGTACCTTTTAACCCTGAAGTGGTTATTTCTCGCTTGGATTTCAAGCCAAAGACGCCAACACCATCAAACTCACGGCCAAGCAGCCAAGGCTCCTGGGACCCAAGGACACCAATTACAGCACTAGAGGGCGTACGAAGTGCTACCTCCCTTAAAAGGAAGATCCAAGCACATCAAGGTAGCTCACCAACACCAATGTACGAAGTAATTGACTTCCAGGCCAGAGGTATTAGCAAGTTAGCCCATAGGCTTGCTATTATTGAGGCTGAGAACCGTAAGCTTCGTACGGGGATAGAGGTACTAAGTAAGCGCCGGAGGGCAAAAAAGACCCGGCTACGTCTTGGAGGGTCACTTAATAGTGCTGAAGCAGAGGCACTACAAGTAGAGAAGGGTGGTGTTAATGCTGGAGGAGAGAATAACCCTCAGAAGGAGGGTCGTACGGAAGGTGCTGAACCACGCGCGCGACGATGTGGTAATTGCGGGAAGCCTGGACATAACGCACGAACCTGTGAAGTGGTTTGGGATAGTAATGAGGAAGAGGGTGATATATAGTTTTAATTGATTTCGTACGTTGTGGCTAAGTTAACTTATACATAAGGTAGAAAGGTTTGAGAGAGTGCGTCGCTCGCTATGATGCGTCGCTCGCTATGCAGGTACGTTATAGAAAGAAGCTTTAATAAGTTGTAATATATACTCTAGATAGAGCGTAATAGGATTATAGCCCGTAGATATAAGTAAGCTACTTGTCACAGACCCGCTGTCCTAGCCCCCAACCTTGAGATTGGTGTTGAGTAATCCGGTGGCCGGGTTACGTAAGCCTGAGGCTGGATAAAACCCTGCATCCTGTATTCTGTCGCGCATGTCCAGAAACGTAGCTCCTTGAGCTACGTCTTGTCAACAGAGCCTGTACCTGCTTAGGATAGAGCCTGCCCGTAGCAATAGATTGTCTGATCCGCCTGCCCAGCATCCACCTGCCAAACAACCTGCCTGCTACTGTGACACTACTTAAGAACCTATTACTAGTTATTCTAGTAGCTATAGACGTCCTACGGGGGCCCCCTATAGGAGCCACTACTTCTAGAGATTCCCGAAATACTTTAAAAACACTATATTATTATATTTAAGAAGTTAGGAGACCTTAAGAGATACCGGTAGCTCTAGAATAGCCGTAAGGGGAGGGATAACTACGACCCCATAGTACGGTAACTTATATTTAATAAAGTTAATAAGCGATTAAATACCTAGAATTTCGCCTTAGCTAATACTTAAGGGGTTATAAAGGCATTAGAAGCTTAAGTTAAATTATATAAGCTAGTACTGTAGGTAAAAGTTAAGTAAGATCTAGATGAACAATTTATATAAATTAAGGCTATTATAAAAACGAAAAAGAAGGTCGCAGCACGCTCTACGTAGTAGATCACGGAACTAATAGTAATATCGGGTATACTAGAAGCTTCTTTTACTAGCATGTATTCAGAATTTCAGCTTTAACAGCGCTGTGCCACCAAAAGACCAATTCGCCACCATGAAGTCCAGAATGCGAAGTCTCGAAAAGTGGCCAAATTGGGTGATCGGTTGTGTGGGGTGACCTCTTACTTCGTAGACTCATCTATCGAAACATAGTTTTGCGGGGCGTCTCCAGAAATCCACCAAGGGTCATCCGTCCTCAACGACATTGCAAACTTCATTGACCTTCGCAAACGCGTCTTCCTGTTAATGAAGCCGCCACCACCACCACTCATAGCCTAAGGCGCAGATTTCGCGTTAACGCGTTCTGCAAACTCTCCAATCCATGGCATGTACGCTCCTTCGCAAGCGCAACCTATCAGTCGGGTCCAAAGTAGACTGTCTTGCGGGGCGCGATCCGGATTCGGTTGTAAATGTCGTCAAATATTTCCGAACCGAACCTGATTCGACCCACGCACTCTTCCTGGGTGCTGGGCGCCCTCCATGTGTCGTTGTCGAGGTACCCCAAAAGATTCGGATCGTATCCAACCGCTAGCAGCCACTCTCTGTCGTACAATCTCTTCGCTTTGCTCTCGTGTGAGGCGAGTCGGCTCTCGAGCCTAGTTGTTCTCTCACGATGGAGTTTATGAGCGATTCGTAAAAAGACAACTGCCGTCATGTAACCTAGTGCTGTTAGTGAGCCACTCGAGGCTCTATTTGTTGTGCCAGCTTACTATCGAAGCCTGCCTGATGGGCTGTTCCACGGCGTCCATAGCCATAAGCTGTATCCCAAGAGATGCTTGGCTGTGTTTTGTTGCGATCGAACCTATTGTGTAGATCCAACAATGGGTCTTCGCCCTCGATCGTGTCGTCCTTAATGGCCAACAGCTTCGTGTCTATGACGTAGGGGAATAGTCTTTGTATCTTTGCTCGAAACTCACCCAAAGTATCAGGGAGGTCGTCGATGAAGGTGTTGTAAAGGAACAAAAGGTCCATGAACTGGTTGTGTCCAATAATAGTTGGCTTCCTTCGGCCAAAAGCTTCCAACTCCTGTAGAGCATCTGCTACTTCGTTCTTGAGTGTTTCCGTGGACAGTTCTTCGAGATCTTGACACAAATTGTCCCAGCCAGTCGGCTCATCGTAGCTGGTTGTCTCAGCCGTGGGATACCAGGTACCACTGTCGCCCTCTCCGTATTCGCCATCGGCCGCTCCCTCTGAAGTGCTTGAGGATTCGCCACTGTGGCTAGCTGAATGGCCTTCTTGAATATCTGTGGCCTGTGAACGGATGCCATCAAGAGGGGGAGAGTCAGTCCGGGACAGGCTGCTGCCAAGACCTGGGTAGCAACGTTCGCAATGAACATTATACACCACGGGCGTCCCCTCATTATCTCCAACTCGACGTCCAGGCGGCTGTCGCTCCTGCATACAAAGGCACTTGCCGTTGGTGATCAAGTTCGTTTGCGACGCAACTTGGACGTCCTGTCCGGAGGAGTCACTAAAGCAGTCCGTGCCATAGTCGTGATATGTGCAGCACCAGTTGCAGTAGGGGGCCTCGACTTCGTCCTCTGAAGATCCCTTGGATTGTTCTGGTGACGCGGGATTCAAGAACTCATGCACCTCACGACAAAAGGTTTGTGCTTCCCCAGGCCAGCCAGACATGGCTTCGACAATGTGACCGGGGTCAATCAGGTCGGCAAACTTACCTCCGATAAGGGCTTCGATAATCAGTCGAAGGCCTTATATCAGTCAGCCGCCAATTAAGTATCACGCGCTGACAGCAGCCTACCTGTGTACTTGCTCAATGATGCGTTGAGATCGTCCTCCAGAAGCTCACGCCTCTTGGCAATGTCAGCTTTCTCTATTCTCATCACCATAATCCGCGCCGTTGTGTACGAACCTTGGCTTCTTGTCCATCGCCCCCCTGAGAGATTACCACGGTCGTGCCGTGGTTCCAAAGACGACACCCCATTTGTGGCACAAGCTCCCGGGCCTTTATACGAACAATTTGTTCGTAGACACTCATACGTTTCTTGCTGTCGGAGTTAGGTAAGAGGATATTGATCTCTGGAGCTCGCTGTTCGATCTGGCAATTAGGATATGTAGTAACAGGAGCAAGGATTTGACAGGAAAGGGCCTTCGTTGAAGCAGGATAAAATGACAAATGTCACATACCATCCCTGGATGGGTGTAAAGCCAGTTCATAATCGCACTGTGAACGTAAACGCAAAACGTAGTCAGGCCTTCATCGTGTTCGTTGTATCCATGATCCCTTACGTCCCAAGGCTCTTGTCGGCGCTTCATCTGTCGAGTTGCCAAGCGGGCATCTTTGCGGCTCAGATACGGAACGCAATCGTCGTAGATCTTTTCCAGTCGAATTCCTTCTGACTGAAGGAACTTCAGAGTGTTGTACGAGACAGAAAGATTCCTGTCCAGTTCTTTGACGAATTTCTCGTCAGCCCGTGTCTGGGTATGCAGGTAAGGGCTGACAGTGAAACTGTAGGTCTCGGTCTTGTAATGGTCGCCTGAGATTTTGTTAGAAAGGGTTGATGAATTTCTGGTTAGAAAATGGAAAAACAGACCCGACTGGTGTTGAATACAAGTGATCCCCATTTCAAAGACGTTGAACTTGGACGCGATCTTCTTGGCCGATTCATAGATTTGCTGGTTAGTTGGGTTTTCTGGGCGGTTTTCCGAGCTCTTGTCCGTGATGCCGGTCATCTCGAGGTCGATGGCAACGAAGTTGGATTTCGCGATGGACAGCAGAATCTTGGGCAGCTGCCGCCAGAAATTCTCCGAGGAAACTTCCATGCTGGGCGCCGAGGTGTTGTCGAGTTTGTGGCTTCCAGTCGACAGTGGTTGAGAAGGAAAAGACAGAAGGAAGGTTGGATAGGTTGAAAAAAGAAGAAGAGGTGGAAGCTGTTGTCAGGTCAAATGGAGGGGGAGAAAGCCACCTGATGGGAGACGTATCCAGGAAGGAGCACCTCGTGACTGCAATAAAAAGGCAAGAGCACTCGGTTGCTTAAACAGGGCAGGTCGTTCTTCGGAGTATTTGCCTGCGTATTCCTTCCCCGTTTGTTGTTGGAGATGGAGTAGGAATCCCTCATATTTTGAGAACGTACACAGGTAAGGGAGAAAAGATTGCAGAGTTCTCAGACCTGGCCATCGTCAATTAAAAAATTCAGGAATGAAGCATCGTATAAAATTGCTTCGCCATATCCAATTCACATCTTGCCCAAAATGAGAAATAATAAATCCCAGCACAACAACAAACGCGTCTTACCACGGCCAAAACAAGGAAATCAACAGTGTCATCAAACATAATGAAAAAATAGTTAAAAAGTTCAACTCTTATCCTTGCGTACAGCGGAATCTATGAAAACCCCGAGACTCTTACCAGCCTCAGGTGTAACGATGGAGGTTTTCTAATGTCGGTGGGGTTCGAACCCACGCACCCGTGACGCAAGGTGACGTTCCTAATCAAAGGAACGCCTGGCGATACCATTGCGCCACGAGCTGCTGAAAAAATCCAGAGGGGTTTAAACATATAAGGGTAGGCCAGGAGGTCAGGAGGGCAACCTTGGGATGAAAGAGTGGGTGGGGCTGAGGCTTGTGGCTGGACGTGAGAGGTGAAGTACACGAGGGAAGGAAAAGCGATGGGCGAGGTAAAGCAGGAGAGGGTGACCTCGTGAGATGCTGCTATGGGTTTGCCTTTGCAACTTTACCTCCAGAGATACCAGTTCGTTGCTGCACAGTTGGACACGATATCAAATGGGTTGAAACAACCTTGCGCTACGTGAAAAGGCCCAACACATATCAATACTTTATTATGAAGATAAAGTGGACAGTACTGTACCTCTTTATATCTTTATTCAACTTCCCTCAGTATGAGAAGCTTTATGAGCAGTAGTAACGCAAACATTATACAGAGAACTAACTTTTCAACAATTGCCATATGTAACAGAGCGGCCTACGTCTTTGGAGCATTCATGTACGGTAGACCCAAAACCCTCTCAAGTTAGTAGAGGACGACGTGATATTTCACTCACCGAGGCAACAGCACTCACGTTCGCCTGCTTCTAAGGCAAACTACCCTGAGATAACAACCCAATGCCTCTAGTCCGGCGAGCAGAACTACACGAACATGAGGATATCACGCCACAGCCAAGCCCACAGCCGAAAGCACAAACGCAACACCCTCAATCCCTGACCAAACAGACACAAACATCCAGTGAAAGATTTGATTGTACAAGTTTATCTATGATACAACAGCGTTACACATCCTCTCTACCGTTCCTCGAACTTTCCCCCCCACCCCATTTTTCAAACCGGGCCAAAGAATCAACACATGCTCACCATGTGAGCAAAATCTCACCGGTCCACCATCATGTCCCGTACACTGGCGTAGTAACCCCGGTCCAGCACCTGAGGAAGCTCATCCCTGGTCAGCCACTTGAACTCCTTGTACCCAAACTTGTTGGCCGTCAGGTCCGCCTGGCCCGCCATGATGCGGCCCTTGAGGAAAAACGTCTTGCTGCCCCGCTCAAAAAGCTTGCCGCTCCGGACCTGCGTCTTGGCCACGTGCACGGCGGCCGGGCCGCGCCCGACCATCCACGTGTTCATATTGACGCCCGCCGCGTCGTCGAGGATCCTCTGCGCAGCCTGTGAAGAAGGGTTGAATGTCAGTACATCTAAATATCAGAGGATAGAGAGAGAGAGAGGGGTGGGTGGAAATAGAAAAAACTCACCTCGTGGAGGTTCTCCTCCGTAGACAACCCCGCCGCAGGAAACTCCCAAACATCCTTCTTGCGACCAGCCTTCCTAACAACAAGGTACAGCGTCCTATCCATGGCGCGATCCAACCTCGTCTGGTCCCCCTTGACATCCGCCTCCGACACCCGCGGCGCCAACGCCTCAGGCGGCGCCCGATCCTCCTCGGGAATCGTCTCGGCGTCGTCGCTCACGCGCATCACGGCGTCCTTCAACAGCAGCTCCACCGCCGTATCGTGCTTGCTCAGCCCGTCGCCGACGGCCAGCTCGTCGTCCCACGCCGTCGACGCTTTACCGTTGTACACGCCCAGCTCCTTGGCGACGGTGCCCTTGCGGTCCTTCACCTTCATGTTCCAGTCAATCAGCGACGGCGTGTCGGGCTTGAAGTAGACGGACGTGATGAACGGCATCGTCAGACGCTCGTTGAGGCGCTTCTGGTAGAAGAAGTAGGACTGCTCAAAGTCCGTCAGGGGCCGCGTCAGGAGCGGCGCCCGCGTGAGGATCACGCCCGCGCGGATCGAGGATGTCGGGATCGTGATGTCCGCTGCCGCTTTGGGATCGGTTGGTTTGCTGACTTTTGACGGAGGGGGAGGAGGAGGAGGGGAAGAGTCGGTCGTGGTCGTCGTCGTTGCGGCCGCGGCGGCACCCGAGTACGCTCGCGAGGGAGCTGGAGCTCTAATCTGGACCCTCGCGCATTGTCTGCAGACTCTGGGGGTTGCTGTACGGGAGCTCAAGGTCAGCCAATTATCTCAGTGTTCATCTGAGACGTAAAACATACATTGTATGCGCCCGAGGGCGGCGAATGCGCCTCTGCTGGAAGCTGTCATCGTGAAAATCGCTGGGTGTACGGGGTCTCCTCCTTGACACCTCAGCCGAGAATCTCCAGATTGGAATTGAACTTTTTTGCTGTTCAAGCTCACCAAAGGCACGTACCGAATTGCCGGGGCGGCGCTTACCTAAGGCACGACGTCCAATACGGCAATACCTATGGTGCACCGTGCACCCGTGCACCATGAGAGTGCCTCAAATTGTACCTGAAAAGCAAGGTCGAAATTGACAGACGCCCGGGTCAACATCGCGCCTGACAAGCGCGGGTCTCAATAACGTAAGCAGCAGTAGCGGGGCTGGGGTGGGACCGCACAGAGCCTTTATTAACTCAACGCCCTGCCGCCAGACTTTTCTCTTTCCCTTCTTTTTTTCTCTTCACGGCACCATTTCCTTATCGTCAAGACCCGTTCCGCCTCCAGAACGTCCTGATCATTTATTACGGTGCCCAGACTAAATAGCAGTCTTTTTTCGCTAGCAGCACCTGCAATTTTCTTACTGGGTTATACTGTTAGATAGTTACTGCAAACATATCAGCGCCCTTGACCGCCGTTTTAGAACGGCTGGCTGGCTGTCTGCTGCCGTGTCACGAGAATCCATAGTGGACTCGCGCTATGCGGCAAGCAATGCGTCGCGACTACCGCACACATGAATTTTCTGCTCTCCACGTCACTTGATGCCGCTGACTGCTACTGTAGAGATTAAGCGTGTGCACGAGCGATGTAGCTTCTCGTTAAGAGTCGTAATGTCCATTCGTGTCGTCGTCTATCTACCTACTACAGTACAGAAAGCCTTTCCAGCTTAAATTTAGGCCTCGCCTTTGATCGAGTCTCTCCAAAGAGACCCGAGCGACTCGAGCTACTGCGAGACCCCGCCCCTAAGATACACCTGTGCCTCTCACCCACCTTTTCCCAGAGACACAGGAAATTCAAAGTAGAAAATTTTCAAAAGAAGCCTCCTTCAGATGGAGTGTTGGGGTATTAGACCGCTTGGTTCGCTGCCAAACACCAATAACGCCTGATGCCCGATATCGTTCGTTCGTTTATGCTGCCGAATGCCGATCAAGCCTTGAGTTCCTCAATCGCACGGGCCACCTCTTTGGTAGCGATCTTCTCGCATGTCTTTTTGGCATCATCGTCCAGCGTCTGCGGATCGCGAAGGCCCTCGTACAACTTGCGAGAGACATCCCGATTGATGTTTGCGTATTGATCGGTCGTGAGCTCCTTTGCGCGCCAATGAGGCTTGAGAGCAGCCCGGACGATGCCGCTGATTCTCTCCTTGGTCTCAAAGGGGATGGCAGATCGCGTAGGCGAAGAATCCTGGGACCGAGCAAACGTCGGTCTCTGACGGTTCGGCCGCTGTGGGCGAGGTTGGCGAATTTCCGCGCCGTTCGATCGACTGTCAGAGTCACTACTGTCCCCAGCATTTCGAGTCGGCGAGTAGTTGGCCTTGGGGAATCGCGGTTCAACATAAGAGCTCAGAGATAGCGTAGGTGAGCTGGGCCGGGGATGAGGTGGCGGGGTGAGGGAAAGCGCCCGCGGTGAGTTTCGTGATGATGGTGAGGGGGATGTGACAGGCGAAGAGGGGTCAACACCAGAGTGAGTGCCGAAATAATTCCGCACAGTCTCGTCGTCGGAAGGTGCGCTCATCTCCACCTCCTTGAGCAGCGACGACAGAAAAGATGGTCCGGGTTCCGTGTTGACGGGGGACTGGACGCGCTGCGTAGCACCGCCGTTCGTCTGAGGTCTCGATGCCAGAACGCTCGTCGGCGCTGGTGACGAAGTTATCGTAGGTGCGGGGGCGAGTGCGGACGTAGTGGTAGGAACGGCGCCCGACGCAGTGCCAGATGCAGTTCCAGATCCAGATCCCGACACCGAAGCCGAGGCAGAGCCCGATCCGGAGCCTTCTCCCTGCAAAGGCAATCGGCGTGTACGAGGTCGCTTCAGCTTGCGCTCGGGTTCCTGAGCGGGTTCTTGAGGAGAAGCCGTGGTAGATCTCGACTTTCGCTTGCGGGTGTTGGGAGCGCTCGTCTCGGCGTCGCGAGCCCTCTCGAGGGCGCCCCAAGCCTGCTGCTCCTCTCTAGTCTCGGGAGCTGGCGGAGGGGGCTGCATGATGGGTTCGACTGGGCCACCGTCGAGGCGATGACCGACGGTTGGGCGAATATTTCTTGCAAAGATGTCTCTGGCGCCTAGGCGACTGGCGATGCTCATGCGCTGTTCCCAGTCTTGGTGCTCTTGGATATCGCGAAAGTGTCCTCGCTGGGCTTGAGCGCGGCGAAACCCCTGAAATAAGTCTTCGTCTTCGTGGTTGTCGAGGTCGATGTCAGTAGCATCGTAAATGCGACTCGCAATCCGGTCCCAGGCGCCTTGCCACTCGAGGGATCTTGCCTCCCGTCGTGCGTTTCTAGCTTGCAACTGGGTTCGCAACAGGCCTCTTTGAGCGGTGACGTTTCGTCGGTTGGCTGATCGTGCAGCCGGGTTCAAAGGCTGTGACTGGATCACCTCGACATCCGAAGTCTCACTAGGGCTGGATCGGCTGGCGTTGTTGTTCTCGTCACACTCAAAGCAGTACCAGGACTCGGTCTGGGGGACACCAGACAGCCCGATGCAGTGCGTATGATAGGCTGCATTGCAACCATCGCAGAGGAGCAGCACCTCTTCATGATCCGAGGACTCGCAAATGGGACAGGCGGGACTCGGCTCCTCACCCTCGCCCTCGGGGTTCTCCTGAAGCCATCTGTGGATATCAAACTCCTGCTCTTGCTTCTTGTCTTGGACAGCGTATGAATCGATAGGGGGGCCTGTTAACATCATGTACGTTAGTTTCTTGTTGCTGCCGCTGCGAGCGCCTGTTGCGGATCGGGGTGTTTTGATACGTACCGTTGAGCTCAGATGAGAGGCTGACCTCATTGAAGGGTGTACGGCAAATGGGGCAAGTGTTGGAGTTCTTGGCCCAACTTCTGATGCACTGATCGTGGACTACGTGATTGCAGCCGACGAGGGTAGCAATGTAGTTTGACTCTGGTCCTTCCAGTATTTCGAGGTCTGAGTCGATGGCACGGTACGTTGGCTGTGTTGTTGTGGTGGCTGCTGTTGCTTTTGCAGCTGCTGGGCCCGCTCCATTTGCAGCAGCGTCTTGGTGCTGTTGCTGTCGCTGCTGCTGCTGCTGCAACGAGGGGTGCTGCAGCGACTCCAGGCATATGATGCACTGATCCGGTTCAGTCATTGTGGCAACTGTGGTAGTATCGCTTGAGGTTTGATGAATTCATAAAAAAACGTCTTTGAGCAGGGCCAATGTATGGCTTTGATATTGCAGAGAGATGAGACGTGGATTTTGTTGTTGTATCCGTGATTGTGCGAACTTGTTTATGGGCTTTGTTGCCTTGTTGTGTCGGTCGTGGGGTGGTGAGGTATGGTAAGGTAGGGGAAAGAAAAAGAGAGGTGCCGAGTCGTTCAGTGCCTGGTCGTGGTGGTACGGTGTAAGGTACCTGAGGTGGACGTGCTGCGGCGACTGGACTGGACTGGACGGTTGTCGGGTTGCTATCAGTTGAGTGAACAAACGCACGACCAACTGGGCAGGTTGCTGAAGAGTGGGAAGGGTACGAAGGGGGGGGGGCCACTTTGGGGGTTGGAGGGTGAGTTCGGTATGTTCTGCGTTTCTGGCTGGAGATGGATTGTCAGTCGGTTCGGTGGATGTTTCGCCGCTGTGCTAAGCAGGGAAACCAAAGCAGCAGAAAGATCGAGGAAGATGATGTACAATAAATAAAAGTGGCCGGTGTGGAGAGAAGAGGGGGCTTCAAAGTTTGGCTGGCAGTGCTTTTTGGTGAGGCGAGACAAGCAGGAAGAGTGAGAAAGGGAGAAAAAGGGTCAGGTTTGGTCGCCTTTCTTTCGCAAAGTGCAGATGAGGTATGTTCGTGGGTGAGGTGCCCACTCGTGGACGGGGGCGGTAAGTGTATGGTAGATGCTCTCAGTCTCTCAGTGCTGGGCTGAGAACTGGACGGGAATTGTAAGAAGAAAGGTTTGGAGAGGCCAGGACCCCAAGGCGGTTTTTTGCGAGCTTAGCGCACGCCTACAGCTGGTCTCAACTGGGGCCAATCAACGGCCGGCTGATGCAGCGGTGCGCCACGCTCCTTGCTCCTTGCACCTTCGTCCTTTTGCACCCCGTCCTGACGCTTCGAGGCTTCCCAGTCGGTAGGTGGCCCACTGGGCTGGACTGTGGACACTGGACAGGGACCTCATGGACTGCATCCCATGCCTCCACCAGCAACGGCAGCACCCTCACAGTCACACTCAGTCACTCACACACACGCCCGTAGATACAAACGTGCACCTGGATGCATGCTCGAGGCAGGTCGACGCACTGAGACGGACCGGACTAGCCCACTAGGGCCGCTGAAAGTCTCCATGGATCGATGCAGGAGCAGGAGCATCAACACCAGCCGGAGGCAACGCAACATCTCACCTCACGGACATCCCACGCCGAGAAAAGCACCAGGGACCTCGGGGAGTAGGATATCCTGGTGAGAGATGTTCCTGAAGCAGCAGCAGCTTCTTCTCCTCCTCCTCGGCAACATTGTCCATATGGTAGTGTAGGTAGGCAGGTAGGTACGTACGGATACCTCTGACGGGAAAACGAAAAGAAAACGAAAAGAAAACGATTCGGTACGTACCTTTGACTTGGCGCCAGAACCCAGACAACGGCTGGGAGCTTGCGTGGTTGCGTTACTTCGAGGTTGCGTTTGCCAGGCTTTTTCTCCTCACGATTCGACTGCTCCCCTCTATCGTCTTTCGGCCAGCCCTCCAATCAGGTAGGTACTGAATGACAGACTGCCAGAAGCAACGGAGAGTGAGCGAACTGTGTCCGGGGGAAACGGCGGGAAGGTGGAAGGTGGAAGGTGGAAGGTGGTAAGTGGGCGGCGAGTCAAACACTCAATGGGTTGGCTACTTGGCTCGTGCGACGTTGTTTGGTGACTTTTTGGTCAGGTACCTCGATCCAGCTGAGCGTGGGTGTGATGGATCATGGAGAAAGTCTTAGATCGGTTCAATAGGTAGGTAGGTAGGTAGGTAGGTGGCGTATGGCGTTGAGAACTTGAGACGCCTTTGATGGAGGGCGAGGTGTGAGGGCGTCTACGTCAGGCCTTCCTGTCAGGTGTAAATCGTACTTTGTAATAGTTCAAAGTGTTCTTGATGTGAGTGCGAGTGAGGTGAGGCAAGGCGAAGAAAGACAAGGAGGTAGTGTTCCGAGTTGGCGCGCAAATACGGCAACGTCAGCCCGAGTAGTAGGAAGGGTGGCATCTAAAGACAACCGCGGGACAAGCAGGAGGATTGAGAACGTGCAACGGTGGGAAGCGGTCGAGGGCGGAAGAATGATGGTAGCTGAAGAGGTAAAGTCGGGGCGCAGGGCGTGAGTATTCGGCGCTGGAATGGGTCAGGTCGACAATGGGTGCTATCTCCGCTTCCAAAAATGGGTTGCACCCATTACAGGTTGACGGAAGTCGGGGGGGGGGGGGGGGCAGTGGCAGGCAAATGGGCAATTGCCAATTGGGGGAGAGAGGTGAGAGAGAGGGAAACTAAGGTACGGCCCTGTGTCCGTAAAGCAAGGTACACGTGAGACCTTCATGCCCCTCGTTTCTCGGAGGCCGACGAGATTGGTTCGATGGGGCCTGGCCTGCGTCAGGTTGCGACCCCAAGCCCAGAGTCCGGTCTATTCCTTGGTGCTGGGTGTGCCCGAGCGACCTTTTTCCATTAATCCATTAAATCATTGATTGTTCGTTGACGGCCGCTCGTCCCGGTTGCTACCTACTTTGCCTTTCCCACATTTAATTGCCAAAGGGGGAAAAGACCACGGGAAGGGTAGGAAAGCCTGAACCACGAAGCGGCCAATTTGCTGGCGGATGTGTACGGCGTTTTATACCCATGTGAACCTGCTCTCGTTTACGGCGGCATTTCCGCGCAGCACAGGATCACGGCCCGTCATCCTCTAGGCCCCCAAAGTATGCTGCTTACACAGTGCTTTCGTGAGATCCTCGGCTCGCGGGTGTGCGTCTCATGTATGTGTGTCCATCTGCTAGCATACGTGCAGCGTCTTCAGAAACAGGGTCGAGGTGAGAAGCTCAACTCACCGACTTACACGGGACACAGAAAACCCACCAACGTGCTTTTCTGGTTTACTCGTCTTCACCGTGACAGCCGTGGCGCCTCATTGGCCCGCCGCCTGTGTTCGCGTTTTGTAAGTCTAGAACACCCGGATGACTCAAGTTGTGATTCGACGTGGCATCCCGTAACAGCTGCCGCGCACTTGTTCGCTCTGCTACGATCATGGCCTTGATAGAGATTTGAACCCACCCCGGAATATAGAGACGACTACCGGGCTTCGTGAGAACCTTGTTGGAACACGCCTTCTGACGCAGGCCAGCCGCCTGTGGCATATGCAGGCACCCAAGCGGATCATCCCTCTCTGCCTTGCTCGACCTGGAGATGACTCGGCGTCAACGTGGACGCCTTGACGGCGCTGTTCTCTACCTACGCTGGATCACAGTCACGTGGCCTTGCGGGGGGGGGAGGGGGGGGTATCTTTCATGACGACTGGAGCAAATCTTTTTTGATGTTGGGTGGCCCGCTTCGACGCTTCAACCACGCGGCTGAAGTGACGGGGTCGATGACTCTATCCATGCCAACTAACTCCACACGCCCTGCCAAATGACCTCGGAACGCTCTTCACCACTTCACGTTGTGACTTGCCTGAGCAGGTCGGTGGGCGTATCTCAAGGACGGAGGGGGAAGCGATCGGGAGGGGACGTTTCGTTGTACGTCAAGTTCTTTTCATTGCTGACCAAATGGTCCCTCTGGCAGCTGACCGAAGACCCGTTCCGTTATGGCCATCGTCAGGATGTAGGCACGATATCCGATTTTCCCAACACCGCCCGAAATGCAAAGCAGAAACCATCTACCATTCGTAATCCCGTCCCTTAAACCTCAGCAATCTCTCTCAGACGACGGAGAGTGGAGCGCATGGCAGCAGCGGCGGGGGTGCTATTGCACATTGTTAGCATTCTGTCTCCATTGCAGACCATCTTCGAGGGTGGAAACATACGCGACAGTGTAGGCACCGCCAGCAACGGTCTTGTTGCAGCCTCTGCAGTTCCAGATGCCGGTGGAGTGGCGCTTGACGGTAGGCTTGCCGCAGAAGGTGCAGGTGTACTTGGCGTGCTGGGAGATTTCCATCTTCTTGACCTGCTTACGCAGGGAGGCACCGTAACGGGTACCGTACTTTCCGGTCACTCCGACCTTCTGTAAGGTTGTTAGAGATCTGTGGCTTTAACGTTGAGGATTCCTGGCCCATCAAAATTCGTGTCAAAGAGCCACCTCATAGCAAGTAGCTCCGAACTGCAAGTCGAGACGAGAGAGAGAGATTCAAGGTGCGTTGGGAGGTGTCGCCATTTTTCGTGCTCGAGTTCGCGAAATCTGAGTTGTCGATGTTGCGGAAGAGTCTGTGAGTTGCACAAGTCGGGTGTTCAAGGTCAATTGTTGACAGCATCTGCCTCTCTGTTGTCGTGGGGTTCCGTCAAAATTGGCGTCTGGGGTCGTTCGCTCGTTCCGCAGTTCTCTCTTTCTCTCTCTTGTCGTCGTCTCGCGTTGCGCTCGGTGCTATTGCGTAGGCGGCCTGCTTGTTCGTCCCTACCCAAACCACGATACCGAGCCCTTGATAGATGCCATCGTCGCCAATGAAGGAAGATCGTGGGCCGGTATCGACGCGGGGTAGGGAAGTCCAAGCAATGACGGGAAAGTCGATGAAGCCATCCGTCCTGGATGGGGTAGTAGAGCATTACGAACCTTCGTGCGCTTGGCCATTTTGTCGAATTTTGGGGGGGAACGGGTTCGTTGACTTGAAGTGCGACGAGTGGTGTTGACGGTTCCTCTAAGGCGGTTGAAATTTCTAGAGGATGGTGTTGAATTTTGTCAGGGCTTGCCGACTCCGTTTGTGCGCTGGGAAAGCGAGCACGGACCACCGTTGACGCGAAAAAAAGAATGCGGCAGAACCCCGGCAGTGGGGTTTGCACCCGCCCTGACGCAACTTTTCGGGTCCATTCTCCAGAGTCGCAAAAACTTGACCCTATCCTCACACGTGATCCTTCACCTGACTGTCGACAGCGGCTTACCTAACCACTGACTTGACGCATTGTTCAAGAGGTTGCACTGAAGGGCCTCTTCAAACGCCCGGGGAGGAGGCCGGGAGATCGGCGTCACAGCTGTCCGCTCGGCCCTTCTAAGCCGTAAGTGGAAAGCACAGCGCCCGGGTGGTTGTCACGAAGACGCTAGACCGCCGAGGCAGCGCGGACCAGATGCCTTGAACAGTTGATATCGCCGTTTGCTACATCACAAAGTTTGCGCTCTCGACGGCCGCAGCGTGGAATGTGTCACCTCAATGGACAGCGAAACGGACACATTTTTGATGGATCATCGTGCATCTGTGAAAGGGGCCGGACATTGGTGCCACTTTTCGTGGCGTGCTGGGATATGTAAAGATGGCCGGCCGCCGCATGACTTTTGAGTGCAGTCGTTCATGTCTGAGACTCTCGCACCCAGACTTTTTTCCTGTTCCTGCAACTGCGTTTCTTTCCTCTTTTTCCATCAAAGTTAAATTCTCGTTGAAGAACATATCGCGCCAGCGTCAGAGATGCCTTTCAAGCAACACGGCCGTCAGTACGACTTGGTCGTTTTTGGTGCTACTGGTGTGTATAAGTCGAGGGTGGATCGTGGTGATGTAACTCACCGTCCAACAGCTGACAACTCCAAAAGGCTACACTGGGACGTTCGTGGCAGAGCACATTACAACCCATCTGCCGACCAATTTGAAATGGGCAGTTGCAGGTCGATCGGAGACGAAGCTCCAAGGTCTTATTGCTGAGTGCAAGAAGCAGAGTCCCGACAGGTTGCAGCCTGGTGAGTGAAAGGATTTAGGTTACGCAGAGATCAGATGAGTGTCTGATCTTCATCAGCGAAGTGACTGTCTCGGCGTCTTCCATTTTCAATCGTGCTGGCAACGGATGAGTCTACCACACGTTGGAAAAGTAGGCAAACCGAGAAACAGCAGCTTGCATTGGAGGGGAAAGTGGTGACGAGGTGCTCAAGAGAGGGGCTGAATCCGTCATGCAGGCCTGGCCAAATAAGTCACTACCCATCAGTACTAACCACTTCCACAGAAATCGAAATCTGCAGCCTCAACCACGAGGACCTCGAGGCTCTCGCCAAAAAGACATTTATTCTCATCACAACCGTCGGCCCCTATGCAAAGTATGGCGAGACTGCCTTTCGAGCCTGCGCCGAGAACGGCACGCATTACCTCGATGTCACCGGCGAGACCCCTTGGACCGGCACAATGATTGGCAAATACGAGAATGCGGCAAAGGAAACAGGCGCCATGATGTTTCCCCAGATTGGAATTGAATCGGCACCGCCAGACCTCGTCACCTGGTCGTTGGCCAAGCAGGTCCGCGAGAAGCTCTCGGCCAAGACAGGCGCCGTGACGGTATCCATCCACAAGCTGGAGTAGGTTCTTTCTTTCCATCTCGCCGTGCCATTGATGATTGGATTTGGGGTGCCGGTGAAACATCGACAGAACGTTGCTCTAACGCCGAATTTTGTCTGTTAGTTCGGCTCCGTCTGGCGGTACCCTGGCGACGGTCCTCAACTTGTTTGAGTCATTCACGATCCAGCAAGTAAGAGAGCAGCACAAACCATATGCTCTCTCGCCCGTGCCAAACAACAACAAGGTTCAGTCGCAGACGTCCCTGCTGACCAAGTTGGTGGGATTGCGAAACGTTCCCAGCCTGGGACTGATGACTACGTCGATTGCTGGGATGACGGACACGCCCATCATCCAAAGAACCTGGGGTCTCTTGGCATCGGTGCCTTCGCGTGAGAAACAATTCTACGGACCAAACTTTTCGTTCCACGAGTACATGAGAGCAAGGGGCTACCTTCAAGGAATGGCTATTCACTGGGGTCTTGCCTTCTTCGGCCTCCTGCTTGCGACTGCTGCGCCGTTCCGCAAGTTGGTGAAGAGATTTGTTTACGAACCTGGCCAGGGCCCGGACAAGGAGCTATCAAAGAAGGATAAGATTGAGTATCGTGGCATTGCCAGCCCGGATAAGGAGTCCAAGACGGAGTTTCCCAAGGCTTACTGTCGTGCCTGGTACGACGGCAGCATGTACTACTGTGAGTCTGGTTTCCCCCAATTGGTCGAGGATGACAGAATGCTGACTGGGCACACACACTCATAGTGACGGCTGTTCTGTTGGCCCAAGCTGCATCAACGCTGTTGGAGGAAGACGTCGACCTGCCTGGCGGTGTCTTTACTCCGTCGTGCTTGGGACAGCCGTTCATCAATCGGTTGCAGGGAGTCGGCTTCAACTTTGAGGAGAAGATTCTGGAGCACTGACTGACGAGATGAGGTGTTGGTTCTCAACTGTGTTGTCCACCGATGATGATTTGAGGGGGGGTTCGCTTCAATGTAAACGGATTGTTCAAACGTATGCTGTAATTATCGAAACATGTTATACTCAATTTTGAAAAGAACGGGTTCATGTGCGTGACGATCGTTGCCGCATAAACTATCTGCCCGCGAAACAAGCTGACAACAGGATGCAACGTCGATTGTCGATGATAGCCAGGAGAGCTTACAACAGCTACCCAACAGCTACCCAAGGTAAGCAGATAGGCCAGGGGTTTAGGTTCGCCTTCTGATCCAATTGACGGTACTTGCAGCGCGATGCTTCCAGTTGGCACCGGAGATGCATCCCAAATGTTCCCACTGTGGAGATGTCGCCGGCGTGCTGGGCCGACCTGCCTTAACCGACCTGGAGCGGGCAGCTGGGCGCATACCAAAGATACCGTAAGGCACCTTACCTTTAAGCACCTAAGGTACGTAGTGCATTCCATTTGGCAGTCGTCGGGTAATTAGCGCCCCGAAAGCAGCTTTCCCCGCAGAATTAAAAGGAGCACGCAGCTCGAATGGCCAGGCCCAGGAGGCTCCCAATTCGGTGCAAAACTTAGGACGTCATCAGTCCACGGTGCATGTGGTGAGGTGCAAATCCAGCACCGGCCGGACCCAGCAAGCAAAGCACAGGGCAGTCTCCATCGCTTTCCACGTCCACCACACGCAGCAGTGACCTTTCTCCGGAACCTCCAATTCCTTGTACTCAGTTGCGACATGCGATAACCCACGACCCGACGACTTTCTCTTCCACTTTTCAAGTCGAACCAGATTATAGTTTTTTCTTCACTTTTCTTTCCTTCTTTCATATCTGTGATACCCCCCTGAGCTGTGAGAGAGGTAGAGAGAAAGAGTGAGAGAGCGCTCGCGGAGAGAGAGAGAGAGAGAGAAGAAGAAGAAGAAAGCTTTTTTCGAGAATGGATCAGACAACAACAACAACAACCGCCTCGGCCTCGGCCACCGAGAACACGCCACTACTACCAACGACAGAACTCCGCCCCAAGTCATCGCGAACCGTCACGTTCAACCCGAACCCCGTATCCAAGACCATCGAGCCGGAGCCCAATTTTCAACGATCAAAATCGAGCCACGGCAACAGTCTGGCGACGAGTCCCGGACAGAGCTCGGCCCTATCTTCCATCAACAACAAGCTGCGTAGGAGAAACAGTCATGGCGCCGTGCAGAGCCTACCGCCTCAGATGGTGCCCAAGATCGGTCCCCAGCGAAGCACCAAGAACGCGCAGAAGCTGAAGCTCCTGCCCAACCCCGAGCTCAACGAAGAAAGCCCCGACGAGGAGAGCGGGAGGGACGTGTACTCGCAGTACACCAGAATCAAGGATCCCACGGCGCGTAGGGATGCCGCGCGCCTGGGCAAGGCGGACCGCGACAGACTGCCCAGGGTGACGGCGTACTGCACGGCGAACAAGTACCAGATGGAAGGGCTCATGCGCTTCCTCAAGGGCCGCGGCAAGTCGAGGGGCGCCAACCCCAAGCTCATTGACGAGTGCATCTACACGGCGTACGACTACAGCAAGACGGTCGAGAATAGGCACGATCGCAGAGTAGGCGCGCAGCCCGACCCGGTCCAGGCGTACGAGAGGCGGCACTCGACGGGCGACGTCTCGGACAATGGCTTTGCTCGGGATAACCTCATCGACCTTCAATCCGAGGGCCGGCACGACTCTGGTTTCGCCGACGGGTTCGAGGGTGCCAACAACGAGCACGCCATGGTTGAGTCCAACCCGGACTTTGACACGCAGATCCACACCCCCGAGGTCTTCCTCTTTGACTACGGAGTCGTTGTGATATGGGGCATGACTATGGCCCAAGAGCAGAGGTTCCTCAAGGAGCTTGCCAAGTTTGAGACGGAGAAGTTGTCGCCAGACGATGTCGAGACGGAGCACTTTAACTTTTACTACACAAAGGAGTATCAGGCCCGTATCTACAATGACTTCATCACTTTAAGGGACAAGAGAAACTACATGACCAAGCTGGCCATTTCTCACGCCCTAGCACAGAGCGTCAAGGTAAGAGACTGTTGACAATCAGAGGGACTGCTCGGTAACTGACATGGTCGGGATAGACATCGCTTTTCGAGGAACTGATTGCTTCGACCGTCGACACATGTAAAGACATCCCTACGCAGATCGCGCTGACGGGCAAGATCGCCCTCAGCCGCACGCAAATCAACATGCAGATCGGCGAGCTCTTCATCCTCCGCATCAACATCCACCTCAACGGCTCCGTCCTCGACACACCGGAGCTGTTCTGGGTCGAACCGCAGCTGGAGCCGGTGTACCAGGCCGTCCGTACCTACCTCGAGATGGACCAGCGCGTCGGCCTCCTGAACGAACGCCTGGATGTCATTGCGGACCTGCTAGCGGTCCTCAAAGACCAGCTCAGCCATGGACACGGAGAGAAGCTGGAGTGGATTGGTAGGCCGACCTCCCCCTCCCCCTTTTCTTGACCTTATCCCGTGGCCTTTTGCTGACAGCTCTCATAGTAATTGTACTCATTGCAGCTGAGATTGTCGTCGCAGCCATCAACATCGTGGTGGATTTGTATGCATCGGATTAGTAACATTTATGGCACGCATACAAGTAGGAATTAGGATTCTCTTTGCACAGCGGGGTCTTCACAGGCAGGGGAAAAGCTCAGCAATCGGGAAGGTAATTCACACAAAACAGGGCACACAGAACATCCATGGGCCCCGTCAAAGTGGCGCAATAGAGAATGAGCTTCACGGCGCAGACCACGCAGTGGGAGGGTGAGGGTGCTACCCTAGTCGGCTGCAGCAACAACTACTCCATTTTCCAGGAGTCGATTACGGTGTTTCTCTCGTATTGTACAAATAAAAAGAAAGGAATTTTCTACCCGCAAAGCCCCTCCCCAACGCCAAAATCCCTGTTTACACGGAAGCATGAGCTGAATGCCCATCAGTCGTCCGCCTTGTCGTCCTTGTCGTCGGCCGCGGGCGTGTCGTCTGCCTGCTCCTCAGTATCGTAGTTGGTCATCTCCACGTCCTCATCCTGTGACGCAGCTGGTGCGGGCTCTGGTGACTTTTCGCGCTCTTCCTCGTCTTCATCCTTGGCCTCGGCGCTCTTGCTCTTGGCCGCGAAGGCGTCCTTTTCCTTTTGGTACTTGGCCATCTCCTCCTCGGAGCGGGTCTGGAACTCCTCCTTTTCACCCTCGGGGAGATCCTTCCAACCGCGGGCGAGCTCCTCTTCAATGTTGGCATCGGCGTCGTCCTTGTTCTTCTCTTCGAGAGCGGGCCGCGTGTCGGCGCAGTACAGCTCGAACGCGTTCCCGGGGCGCTTGGGCGGCTTCGCGACGCCGTTGGTGTGCGCCGACGCCTGGGTATCGGTGCCCTGGGTCGCGTCGCCGCCCTGGGTGTGGGAAAAGGTCTCGGAGCTGGGCGAGACGGTGGCGGCGGTCTGGCTGAGGGGCCTGGAGTTGGCCTTTGCGGCCGAGTCGATCTCGGCCAGGACGGAGGGCTTGCGGTGACCGCGTTTCGTACGCAGAGGCTTTTCTTGCGGCTGAGATGGTGTCAGCATCCTGCTTTGTCGTCGAGGTGGGCTTGGCGGAGGGCCTACAGTCGGGGGCGGGCTCGGGCTGCCGTCTGAATCCTCCACGTTGGCGCTCGTTCTCTTGGCCAGCTGTTCGAGCAGGAAGGCTCTCTCCATCCGCAGCTTCTCAATTTGTCGTCGGATCCGGGCGAGGCGGACGCGGGTCGCGTCGTTCTCCTCCTCGACCTCGCCGGTGCGCTGCTTGAGCTGGATGCATTTTCGCCGGTAGGCCTCTTCGACGGAGGGAGGTAGGGAAGGCGGAATTGCTGAGAGGTCGATCGCGAGGGGGTTAGCTCGAATTATCTTTTTGGGAGGCATTGTGCGTGCGCGGGTTGTCCGGCGAAGTTCCAATCGTATCGAGGGTGAAGGGGTGGGAGAGAGAGAATTGGCTTTTTCCCCCCAAGACAAGGTACGGGGGGAATGAGTTGCGACGAGATGGGGTTCGCGGCGGATGTCAAGCGGAGCTTTGCGAGGGTGGTAGGTTCATTGATTTTCCGAGGGAGTTTACAAACGTACCGGATTGCGGAGCCATTATTACGTATCTGCAAAGGTCAAGAGTGATGGTGGTAGTACAGAACACGCCAAAAGGACGAAGGAGATGAATTGAGGCTCGATTGCGACGCGGATCTGAAGATTGGAGAGTTGGAATTGGGTAAAGGAACCTGGGCCGGGGGGGGGGGGAGCGCGAGGGAATGGGCGATTGTCGTCAGGAACCAACACGCAGCAAACACGCCAGCTGGGAAGTGCGAGGCTGGCAGTTGCTGTCTCACACAGACGACAGGAACCTTTGGTGCCACTGTGCTTGGAAGCAGGGGGGTTTCCAGTGGAGTGTTTCTCTGTCCGTCTGGACGGGGGGGTGGACCGGGTGGTTCCAGCACCTGTTGAAGCTGTGGCCCAAAATTTAGAATGCACCAGATGAGCCGGATCGGAACAATGGCTCGCCTACAGCGTCGTGATTGGTCATCCCCGGTACCTACCCACCAAGGCTGCAGCCATACGCTCCCGCACTACCCACGCCTTGCACCCAGACTTTTTTTCGAAAGGCCTGCCGTAGAGGAGGAGCTCCCGCAACCACATCATCAACACACAGGGTACATTCTACACTGTTGTTTTTGAGCCTCACGACTGACACCGCCCCGATTTACGAAGCGCATCCGGTCGGTGGCCCATCATGTCTCTCAACATCCCCAACGCGCCGAACGCCAACCTGTTCAAGCAGGGGTACAACAAGTGAGTCCCTTTTTACCAATCTGGAGCTCCCCTCCCCTCCCCCGCCTTGAAGCCCGTCACCGACACTGACCCCTCGTAACCAGCTACGATTCCGAAGATGGAGCCGTCCTTCGCAACATCGACGCCTGCCGGGCCATCTCCTCGACCGTCCAGACGTCCCTTGGCCCTTACGGCCGCAACAAGATTGTCATCAACCACCTCCAGAAGATGATCCTTACCTCAGACGCCGCCACCATCCTCAGAGAACTCGATGTTGTCCACCCGGCAGCCAAGCTCCTGGTCATGGCCAGTCAACAGCAGGAGGCCGAGATGGGTGATGCCACCAATCTGGTCATCGTCCTCGCCGGCGAGCTGCTGAAGAAGGCCGAGGACCTGCTTCGTATGGGCTTGAAGACATCAGATATCGTTACCGGTTACGAGCGTGCACAAAAGTTCGCTCTCGAGACACTCGAGGAGCTTTCCGTCGACAAGGTGGAGGATATCCGCTCGCAAGAGGAGCTCAGCAAGGCCATCCGCACTGTTGTCGCCAGCAAGCAGAACGGTAGCGAGGACTTCTTGGCTGAACTCGTCGCCGAGGCCGTCCTGGTTGTGCTGCCCAAGAACCCCGTCGGCTTCAACGTCGACAACATCAGAGTCGTCAAGATTATGGGTGGTGCTTTGGAGCAGAGCAGGGTAGTCAAGGGTATGGTCTTCCCCAAGGAGCCGGATGGATCGATCAAGAAGGCGCAGCGTGCCAAGGTCGGAGTCTTCTCCTGCCCCATCGACACCAGCCAGACCGAGACCAAGGGAACCGTTCTGCTCCACAACGCCAAGGAGATGATGGACTTCACCAAGGGCGAGGAGTCGCACCTTGAGGCTGCCATCAAGGAGCTTCACGATGTTGGCATCAGAGTGGTCATCGCTGGCTCAACCGTCGGCGAGCTGGCCCTTCACTACCTCAACAGATTCGGCATCCTCGTCATCAAGATTCTCAGCAAGTTCGAGCTGCGAAGAATTTGCAGAGTCGTTGGCGCTACTCCCCTTGCCCGGTTAGGTGCGCCGATGCCCGATGAGATGGGTTCCATTGACGTTGTCGAGACCCTCGAGATTGGCGGAGACCGCGTGACCGTGTTCAGACAAGAGAACGAGGCCACAAGAACAGCGACCCTGGTCCTCAGAGGAGCTACCCAGAACCACCTGGACGATGTCGAACGTGCTGTCGACGACGGCGTCAACGTCGTCAAGGCTATCACCAGAGACCCTCGCCTTGTGCCTGGTGCGGGTGCTACCGAGATCCAGCTCGTTGAGAGGCTGAACGCACTCGGCGAGAAGACTCCTGGCTTGTCACAATACGCCATTCGCAAGTACGGCGAGGCCTTTGAGGTCATCCCGAGAACGATTGCTGAGAGTGCCGGTCTGGATGCCACGGAGGTCCTCAGCAGGCTGTACGGAGCTCACCACAAGAAGGACGACTGGGCCACCGGTGTCGACGTCGAGGTAAGCGAGATGATTTCGTATTTTCTGGAATGCCATGCTAACTTTGCTAGAACGACGACGGCTCTGGTACCCTTGACGCCCGCGACGAGGGCATCTTGGACCTGTTGGTCTCCAAGTCATGGGCCATCAAGCTCGCCACTGAGGCAGCCCGCACCGTCCTTTCCGTTGATCAGATTATTGTGGCTCGTCGGGCAGGTGGCCCCAAGCCTCCTGGCCCCAACCCTGTGAGTCATATCCTCTGCGTACATCGGTTGCAGCGTGCTGACATTCGGTTTAGAACTGGGATGAGGACTAAATGGGTATATACGGCGGCTGGTAATGGAGTTCATGTCGGTTTTGATGATCATAGACCACCCCAAAAGTCACGTCGAGATATCCCGAATAGAGTCCTAAAGACAAATACAAGTGCGCGCGCACGCCCAAAGTGATGTATTCCAACGTCTTAGATTGGGCCCTAGTGGATGTGACCTCTCCTCGCCAGAGGGTTCGGTTGAGCTCACAGGAAAAGTGTACTGTGAGTCTGGGGTATGGCTTTGATATCAAAAGTTACGCTCCTGTCATAATCAGGTAATGGTACTTTGGTGACGGTACACATGGAACAGTCGTAAAACTCCCACACACGCCACCTTGATGTCTCTCAGGCCTGTTGCAAACAACAAATCATCATCTGAGTTCTTCCTCTCATGTTCTGACTTATGTGTACAATGGAGACAACAACGGCATTCACCAGAGATTCACCCGCTTGAGTAATGGAGAGATCAGAACGTTCAGGACAAGAGGCCTAGGGAGTTCTGTTGTTCACTTGGGAGATCGACGGCCAGGAGAGGGTCTAGACTCATAAGCTCTTAGACGCCCCCCACTGACCTTGCTGCAGCGGGGATGGAATACACAACTGAGTTCAAGTCCGCATCATCACTCATTGACGTGGAAGAGCAGGTTCGCATGACGAGAGAATGAGTTAGCTAGATCGCACGTACTACCTACAAGCTAGCTTCTCTCGTGCGTGCCAGAGACCATTCAAGCGGCGGCAACCTTGAAACCCCCCGGCATCAGATCCGTAAAAACTCTAGCGGGGTCATACTTGTTCCGAATCTCCTTCAAGCGGTCGAGGTTCCCCTCCGGATAACTCTCAAAGACAGGCTGGCCGACATCTGCCTCGTTCAGGTAATAGAACGGATACAGCGCGCCCATGGACTCCAATCTCTCCCTGACTCTGGTATTTAACTCGCTGATAAAGGTATCAAAGATTTTGTCGTCCGCCTCGTCTGCCCAGCTGTACGTCTGCTCGATCCAGCACGCAGGCGACTCGTCGATGCCCTGCAACGCACCCGGCCGGGCGTTTGTGGCTGCGAGAAAGGCCGAGGTGATGGGGTTGAAGGCGAAGCCGATGATGCCGCCACGCGTCTCCTTGAAGGTGGCCTTTGCGACCTCGAAGAACATGTCGTGGGCGATGAGCATTGCCTTCTTGTTGGCGTAGATGGGGAGCATGTGGAATCGTTGTCTTGAGCCGTAGGAGCGACCTCCCTTTTGGAAGGATGGCGCCACGGCCTGGTGGTACTGACCCATGGGAAACGGTGCAAGGGACCTCGAACTATTGTCCCGGGTGAGTACGGAACCGAGGAAGTCTCCCAAGACCGCTGGCTGAGTTGTGTTTCCGTTGTAGAAGAGCGTCGAGGTGTACGTTGGGCCATCTGTTCCGCTGACGTAGGTGATGACGGGCAGAACAGCGGCCTTGGGATCGTGGTGCCCTTTGACGGCGAAGTTGTATACGCTATCGATGAACTGTTGCTTGACCTCTTCGCCGCCGTACGAAGGCGACGCGATCATTACGGTCGGGGCGCGGCGTGTCTGAAGATCGAAGCGAGTGACTAGACAGAACGAGTTTCCGCCTCCCTGGAGCGCCCAGAAGAGATCTGCGTGTTCGTTTGTGGAGGTGACTTGCGCGATGCTGCCATCAGCCAAGACGCACTGGTTCTTTTGTGTCAGTTACTTTAGATCCGAGGTTGGAGTCTGCGGTGTCTCACATACCTCATATGCCTTGATATTGCCGTTGGTCGACGCCAGACCGTACTCATAGCTGAAGATGGGAACGCCGCCCCCCAGCAAGAGACCGGATACGCCAATTGGACTGCCTCGACCGCCGAGGACGGTCACGCCTGTGCCGTCGAGCGCCGTGTATACGTCGGACCACCGGAGCCCAGGGCCAATGGTCAGCGTGTCTCGGTCGTTAGAGAGGTGGAGGGTTCCCATGTTCTTGCTCGATATCAAGATGCCGGTAGCGCCGATGCTGCTTGCGTTGGAGATGGGCATATGTCCGCCTCCGCGAATTGCGAACTCGACTTGGTGGTCTACGATACGCTCGAGGCCAGATGCGAGTTGCTGGGCGTTGAGGGGTGCGAATATGCACGCTGGACGGAGCCAAGATCTCGCGGACCAGGGAACTGGGCGATGGTTGAGATGTTAGGGGGGGCGACACTCAGGTTGAGAGAGTCATAGGAACACTGTTCTCACCTTGGACTTCCTCGGTATAGGGTTCGTCTTTAGGGAAGAGCGTCGAGTTGCCAAAGTCTCTCCTGAGGCCCTGGCAGACTTTAGGTGCCTTCTCTGCGCATGATATCTCTGAAGCAGCAGCCGCGGTGACCAAGCCGGTCAGTAAGAGGTAGAAAGCATGCATCATGTGAAATGGAGGAGCGTAAAATAGAATATTCAGACAATAGTGTCAAGCTATGCATATCTGTCTCCTCGGATGATAACTCTTGAGGCTTTTATTGTATCCGAAAGCGCGTCCATCCTTTCAACTTCCCGAGCATACCGCCGGTAGACACTTTCTCCGTCGGGATGCAATCGCTCCATGCGACTCCTCAAGTGGACAGAAGCAATCTCAATGGCTCCAACTTACTTACCACCTTGGGCGCACAAAGTCGGATAGGAGATCAGATTCCAGCTGTGATTGTTGCGACGGAAACCCTCTGGGCGAAAACCGTCGTTCCAACGATCTCTTCTACAGTACGCATAGCAATTAATGTCAAGCTGGGCAGAGCAGCAACCTCGTGGCTATCTCTGGAAGGTAATAGATAATTAAGACTCTAGTCTACGCCATGTATTACTGTGACAATCAGCAAGAAACATGAGAGCAATCTTATATGGCTCCCGAGGGACCTTTGAGGCTCTTGAGCAGCAATTATATCATCTCCGCGCAGACGTAGGCATTCTAATGAAGTGGTATTGGCTAAATGTTGAGTCGGAAGTATTAACATAGCTGATCGCCGTGTGTTACAGCAGCTCAGAATCATAAGTGTCTATGTGGGTTTCTCCATAATCTATCCGGTCGACTCTTCGACTGAGATGGTACTCCGTACACCAATTTCATAACACTAAGTTGTCTGTGGGAGAGCCGGCTCTGTCTCACGACTCGAGTAGTGTCCAGATGCGGTAACGAAAAACGAAAGCGAACCCGAAAGGTAGGTGGAAAAGTAGAGACTTGCACGCAAATGACTGTCTTGGCGCCCAATGCATGTCCCGTATCGGGCCAGCAATTGGGCCGATGCCGCGTCTTTGTACTTGTTCTAACGCACAATCGATGGGGACAACTTTTTCGAGTTCATCCGATGCTGTTCAAAGTCAAAGTCGATCAATCTCAGCGGCTTTTCTTCTCGTTCTTGTTCAAAACATCTCTAGTTCTTCTACAAGTACCGCAGAAACCAGCTGCGCTTTTATTCTAGCAGTCTCCGAACCACGAACAGTAGGTGCCACCCTGGTCACAGACTGCGGCTAACTATGGGTCTCATTTAAGGTTACGTGTGTGGGAGCGTGTAAACATCGACTACCTACGGATACCTGTGCGTACGTATATTCTGAATGTTGGAAGTGAGGCAGTCCGAACCTCCAATTCTTGCTTCTATTCACCACTCTTCTTGAATAGCAAGCGCTTCGCGCGGCTCGAGACCATGACTATCATTTGTGCGGCGGCGTTCCATCCATTTCCAGACCTCCCTGTCGAAATTCGCAGTCGTATCTGGGATCTCACCGTCGAGCCCCGCACCATCGAGGTGCGCGTGATTTACCATCAACCGAACCCAGCAGCCGACAAGGAATCCGATCCTGGCGTGCAGATGGTGGACTGGGGAGTGAAGCAGCCGCCGCCGACGCGCCACCTGCGCTCGTTTACCCCGGCCCCGGCCCAACTGCAAACGTGTCGCGAGGCCCGTGAGCACCTGTCTACACATTGTGATACTAGATCTCGATACGAAAAGGCCTTTTCTGAGATCACCACGACACCGTATGACGGGTTCGACCCCGTGCCCGAGGGCGACCCGCAGCGGAAGCACTATGTCTGGTTCAACTTTGATAAGGACATGCTCTCCGTTGGGGACACAGAGTTGAGCGACTTCCGGGCTGTGGCTCTGTCGGATTGGAAGTCCAATTCGACCGCGAGTAGGGGCAGAGCATGGGCCACCTCGAGGGGGTACACTTAGACCTCGACTACCCACCCAACCTCCGCTTGGAATCTCCCTTCTACTCCTTACGCAGAATCAATCAATACAGAGATATTGATACTTCGTCACCCACAGGACCCTACGGTTCGAACCAACATCCCTGTGATAGGGACACCAACAGGCTCACCAAATTCGCCGGTTACGGCTTGAGCGTGCCCTCTCGAACGAGTACTTTTCACGCAAAGAATCGCTGTTGATTAGTAGGCTGTTTAGGAATGTTGCCGAGGTTCATTTAATCTGTTTGGAGGGCATCAGGTCGGGTTACTCGATCACAGAAGACATGGAGTTTCCTTGTGGGCCCGAGAACGTCTACTTTGTTGACCCACAAGAGATGGGCGGGATGATGATGAACAGTGTTGACCTAGATGCTATGGTGATCGGGGAGGGAGAAGACCTTTACGGGTCAGAGGAAGGGGGCTAAAGGAAGATTTAAAAAATTGTTGCCGATTCTCTTACGATGATCTGCTTATCTACACTGGAGGACGCGAATGGAACTTAATGCACATCCTGTGCTAATGATAAACTATGCATCTTGTTCTTTATGACTGCAAACTAAGCTACAAATATCATCATATCATGGCTTCGCCAATGGTCTGCCTTGGGAGCTGTATTTGACTTCAGGGTCCCCCAACTAGAAGTGAGAGTCCCCCAACTAAAAATGAGGGATCAAAGGATGTTTTACCGCTGTAGGGGAAAGAGATGTAGCATTTCGTTCAAAGGTTTTGGATGCATGCAGCTTCGACGCTTGAGGCGGACCAAAGAGGTTGAGGATAGCTTTACCAAGACCCTGATTCCTTCGGGCTGCTTGAAATCCAGAAAACAGCTCTTCTCGGAGCTAGGTTCCAGGATCTTCCGTAGAGCTATTCGTACTGAAGATAATAGTTGCTCTAGTCATCAGTGGTACTAGGGCATGATACACCAGCCATGTTCGCCCTATCAACCCCGTGAATATAAAATTCATACAGGAGACTATGGATATTGGGTTTCTAGAAAAGTTAGACAATTTTGAAGTTGCCTCACTATCAATTTTCGATATATCCTTAATGTCGTGATGGTCAACCATCTGTGGCCTCACTGCCCGTCACGTGACCTCGGTTACATAATCACAGAGGCCCACACTCGCTCGCATCACCTATTTCAGAGTGAGCGCCTGTAACATAGTTTAGATTAGCATAGACCATGTCGGCATAGCGCCCGGCACGTCCTTTTGTTACCAGAAGTTAAATACATCATCATCATCATCATCATTTCAGAGTGAGCCTAGTACCTATTCTCTACTTTCAATGGATAACCGTTCTCTATCACAAATCTCGATGCCCACATTGTGACCATACGACACTTAAGATGTTAATTTAATTCAAGTGATTGTTAAGGAAGCTGTATTACCCCTGTCATCTCAATGAGCCTGAATTCTGACCCCTTATCTTGACGGACCAATCCATATCTTTCGTGGTTTTTAAAGTGAGTCGGCTTCATGGTTGTCAGTATGTTAGAGTTCGCAAATCCCCGATCCTAATTAACGGAATATCATCGTCGCAGTTTTGGATGGCTAAGAAGAAGCCGGTCTTTCTCAGCCTCTCGATGATGTCCATGACCTTTCCTATCAATCGGGCAATACGGTACACTAACTTGAGGGCATCCAGCAGTGCATGCTGATGCGGGTTTTGACAGCTGTATTAACCATGATTCGTCAGCGATGCGATAAGCATCCGCACAAGGCTGGCGGCAAGAGAGACTTCCCCTCCTTTAACTTTTCTGCAGGTGACAGCCTGCTCCGGCGACTAAGTTGATCTTCGCATTTCCATCTACAGTTTCGAGTATGCTGTTTTGTGTCCGTACCCGTCTGTTGCTCCGAGACAGACTACAGTGTTACATATTTACCGACCCTGATCGTGAGGTCGCGACGAATAAGAGTCGAACGATTTAAACAAACAACCCGAACGATCGAAAAATGGCGCAGGGACGAAACCTCAACGACTACAAGGTGGCATGGATCTGTCCGCTTGAGGTGGAGCAGATCGCAGCGATGGAGATGCTGGACAAGGAGCACCCCCCACTAGCAAAGTCCCCAACAGACCATAATGTGTACAGCCTCGGGAGCATCAACGGCCACAATGTCGTTATCGCAGGTTTGCACCAGCCTGGCAACAGCCCCGCGGCTACGGTCGTGACACAGATGAGGATGACGTTTCCCAACTTACGCTTTGGTTTGTTGGTTGGCGTTGGCGGTGGGGTTCCCGTCAAGACGGATCAGGGGCCGATCCGGCTAGGTCATGTGGTTGTCAGCAAGCCTGCGGGTGGATATTCTGGCGCTTTGCAGTACGATCACGGGAAAGCGGAAGGAGGGCACTTTGAGCGGACGGGTGCCTTGGCGCCACCACCGGCACTTCTGCTAAGTGCTGCACAAGCTCTAGCGGTACAGCGGGATAGGTCAGAGTTCGATCCAGTGCAGCAGAGCCTTTATCGAATCAAGACGGACCGCCCTCGCCTTCGACGATTCCAGTATCCCGGGGAGCGAAACGATTATCACTATCCATCAAATTACGTACACCAGCGCGAAGGAGAACCTTGTGCAACGGTCTGCGACCCATTGAAGCGTGTGGCCAGACCGGTTGATGATGACGATAACTTCGTTATAGTACACAGGGGCAATATCGCATCTGGAGAGTTAGTGGTCAAGAACGCAGAGCTGAGAGACACGCTGGCTCAGCAACATGGGCTCCTGTGCTTTGAGACGGAAGCTGCGGGGGTAATTGCCGACTTTCCCTGCCTCGTCGTGCGCGGTATCTCGGATTACTGCGATTCGCACAAGAACGACGACTGGCACGGGTATGCAGCAGCTGTGGCAGCAGCGTATGCTCGACAACTCTTCTTCCACCTGCCCGTGGACGAATTGCAACGGTACGAAGAATTCCAAAATCGGTAGCATAGGTCATCAGGCTTGGTAGCTAATATCAACGGAATATCGTTCAGGAGCCCCTTCCATGATGAGTCGCGACAATCGAGTTCAACTGAACTAAACTTTGGTAGACAAGATATGTCACAATTAGCTTTAGCTGAACCAGGAAGCGATGGAAGTATGAGTCGTCAAGCACCGCCGCTGCCTGCCAGAAAACCTACTGCACATACCCCACACCAACCGGCCCCGGAACGGGGCATGCAAATGCCTGGACAGAGAGTCCGAAACGGGGATACTGCTTCCGCTTACGGTGCCGCGCAAGATATGACATTCTCAATACCTCGGAAGCCAGTCAATAAGTCTGAGAAGAGAGTGTTGATTGCCGTTTTTGGCATGACAGGAACAGGGAAAACTTCCTTGATAAAAACACTTGCTGGTGAAGCGGCAAGCCAGCTTCGCATTGGGCATGGCTTAGAATCTTGTAAGTATTCTCCCCCTATCCCTATTACTTTAACTGGAATATACCAGGCACCCAGGATATCGAGACGGTCGATTTCTCACTTGACGGTCATAAAGTCACACTCGTTGACACTCCCGGGTTTGATGACTCGGAGAGGAGTGACACTGAAATTCTCAAACTCATAGCCGCTTGGCTACAGAATTCTTACAAAGTACGTTCCCGGCAAGACTTTAAAGAAAATCTCAGGGGTTTTCAATTGACCTTGATAGAATGAAACGCTGTTGTCGGGGTTGATCTATCTCCACCGAATCTCGGATGTACGAATGTCAGGCTCCTCGCGAAAGAACATGCGAATGTTCGGCAAGCTTTGCGGAGCTGATCACATGTCCAAAGTGTGTTTGATGACTACTATGTGGGACAAGGTCACGCTTCAAGACGGATTATCAAAAGAAAACGATCTCAAACGTTCAAATTACTGGGGTCCGATGATTGACAGTGGGTGTTCCGTCAAACGACAAGATAGAGGATTAGAATCGGCGCGAGATGTGGTACGCGGGATGTTGAACGAGAAACCAACGGCCGTCAAATTGCAAGAGGAAATGATGATCGCGGGCAAGAACCTTGTCGAGACAGATGCTGGGATGGCCGTGGACGAGGAGATCCGTAAATTGGAAAGGAAGCATGCAGAAGATCTGGAAGACTTGAGAACACAGATGAAGGAGGCCAACGAGCAAAGTAAGTGGGGGTTCTTTCCAAAACCAAATCAGTTCCATTACTCACTCAGAATTAGGGAACATGAAGCTTCAAGCTCAACTCCAAGAGGAGTATGCTCAAACTATTTCTAAACTACAAAGGCGAGCCAATGAACGAGAAGAGCTCAACAATGCGCACATAGTTGATCTCCAGCGCCGTTATCAGAACGCATCGCATGAGAATGAGAGACAGCAAGACGAGCTCCGCTTTACTGCTGCTAGAGAGCGAGAACGCGCCAACATGGCCGAAAAACTGCTCGAGCAGGCTCATAGTTTTCCGGAAAGACCGGAGCGCTTCAGAGAGGCGCCTACTGCAAGAGAGCCGCAGGATTCACAGCGAATTGAGAGAGCAAGACAACGCTTCGCTAACTTGATAGTGGAGGATGACTACGAACAACGGCCACGTCGACGAGAAGCCGGAGGAGACGGCGATCCGCCAAACACCGTGATGGCGAGGTCAAATTCTGCACCATTACAGTCATACGGAGGAACTACCATAGCCGAGACGAAGAGACATCGGGAAAAGTATCATGGACAAGAGTACAAGACATTTCCGTGCTATGTTCCGAGGACCTTCGGAAGTTCAGGATGCGGACGACCTTTTGATGTCGTTAATCCGATAGCAGGGAAAATTCAATGTTGCTATTGTAGGAAGAGCTGGACAATCTGGGGAGCAGGAAATCGAAGGATTAGACATTAGTTGTACATCCCGCACGAACATAACGTTTCATGCTTCTCTTGTCACAGAATTGGGACCACATTATTTACGCGTGAATCATGAACATGCGGTCTTTAAACACAGGTCTAATGCCATATCAGTTTGTGTCCTAAGTAAGCAGAGCGAGAACGTCAATAATGAGTACACTATACGTACAAAGAGTTTGATGCACCTAAACATCATCATCAAGTGAATCTACCCCAGTTGACGCACTTATGAGGGCTGGTCAAATTACCAATTAATCATACTAGTCGCATTTAACGCCTCAATGAGTAAGTACTCAGATAAACGTCTCTTTTCAAATTTATTCACAACCGTTCAGGTGTTATGCGTGTTAATTAAGGCGCGGTTACCCCTATTTTCTCGCAATAGACGCCCTATTCTTGTTCAGGGGATGTATCCTTTTGATGTCATCGTAACTTTGTTACTTGTGGGTACCCAAAGGACTCGCCCGACTTCCCCCTCGCCTAATTTTTCTTGGCATCTACTGTTAGTGCAATAGGTGGGCCAACACCAATATCCTTAACAGTTGAAAACCCTTCACCTCTCTCCTCCGGCGCCCTCCCGCGATGGCCTCATAGCCTCCGGTGGGCTCTGGACTATTGCCAGCCTCCTCGGCCGGTCCTGACCGAGGCTCTGGACCCCCTCCGGAGTCGTCTCTAACCTTAAGGGCTAAACGCCGCCGCGGTACCGAGGCCCAGCTACCCCGGCCTAGCCTCGTAGGAAGCCAGCCTAACGCCCTTACGATAACCCCCTTAACGGCTAAGGGGCCCTCGACTATGACTGGGATAGCTACTAGAGCTGTCCTTACAGCTCTTAATAAAGAGGCTAAGTACTATAAAGCCCGAAAGGACGTCTTTATAGCTATTATTTAGTCTATGAATAATATAATCTTTTACTTTAAGGGGCCTAGGAAGTAGATCGCAAAAGAAGCTATGACCTATGTAATCTCAGCCTTAAAGAGGATTATAGGTAACGAGACTACGGCTCCGACTCCGAGCCGGAAGTAGACTGACGTAGCAGCCTCGGCTTTAACTACAGCCATGGCCGTGGCCGTAGCCCCGTCCCGTGCCCGAATCCTATCCCGGCCCGAAGTCCAGACACAGAGTCTAACGGAGACCCGGGCCCAGGCTCTATCCCAACCGAAGGAGGACCTCCGGGTCTTTACCCATATCCTAGAAGAGGACCTAGCGGCTACTAGGAAGCACGCCCCCTTTGCCCTACGCCGGATAGTCTACTAGGCCCTTAGGCTCTAGCTAGTAAATATCCTATATATCTACTATATTATAACTAGCTACTTATTAAGACCCCTAAATAAGCAGGTCTAGTAAGCCCTCCTTATAAATAAATAAAAACTAGTAACTAGAGTATTGTTACGGCCAGCTAGTCGTAGGGGTAGTTTGCAGAAGTTGAGGCTGCGGAACTGGTAACAGTAATCGTAGTCGGGGATAGCTTCAGGGAAGCTATGTCTGTCAATCGTAGGATAAGGTAAGGCTTCGGTGATCAATCGTAGTCTTATCAAAGAGGTTCTCAGGAAAGATAGCTGAAAGCGATCATAAGATCTGATACGAAGTTAATTGCTGAAGAGCTATGGAAAGTCTGTCCTAGAGTCCGGCTCGAGTCCATCCTATATACAAGTCCTGATTCTGAACATGTCCTTTGTGCTGGACAGTGTCCTTGTTTGGATATGTTGGATAGCTCATATCCTGGTTATCTGTCACGAGTTATGGCACGCAGCAATGGGCATATGAAGTGGGTTAAAGTGGCTTGAAGTAACCCATCTAGAATGAGCACATGAGAGCAGTCTATATCCCATCAACTACGGCATGACGTCGGTACAAACGTCTCCGGTTTTCTCCAACTCTGATCACTTTTGTAATCTTTTGATTGGGTGCAGGCTTGGGAAATAATACGGTAATGATCCGGAATATCTTGGATTAATACGTGATTTGCTACTACCCCTCATACAGAGTACGTAGGTATGTACCGACGTCATGCCGTAGTTGATGGGATATAGACTGCTCTCATGTGCTCATTCTAGATGGGTTACTTCAAGCCACTTTAACCCACTTCATATGCCCATTGCTGCGTGCCATAACTCGTGACAGATAACCAGGATATGAGCTATCCAACATATCCAAACAAGGACACTGTCCAGCACAAAGGACATGTTCAGAATCAGGACTTGTATATAGGATGGACTCGAGCCGGACTCTAGGACAGACTTTCCATAGCTCTTCAGCAATTAACTTCGTATCAGATCTTATGATCGCTTTCAGCTATCTTTCCTGAGAACCTCTTTGATAAGACTACGATTGATCACCGAAGCCTTACCTTATCCTACGATTGACAGACATAGCTTCCCTGAAGCTATCCCCGACTACGATTACTGTTACCAGTTCCGCAGCCTCAACTTCTGCAAACTACCCCTACGACTAGCTGGCCGTAACACGTCACTATATCGAAACTAAGGCGGCAGCAGTAAAGAAGGTAGCCCAGTTCCTTCGGTACCTAATAAATACTAAAGGGGGGCTCCCAGCAGCCGTAGTACAAAAAGCGGTTATTACTTATATTCTCCTAATAGTCTTATATAGAGCTAAGACCTAGTATACGGGCCTAACTAAACCAGCCCTAAATAGCGGCACTAATATTAGTAGTAATATTACTTTATAGATATCTACAGTTAGTATAGGATAGAAGGGCCTGGCCCGTAGAGTTAGTAAAGTTATTATAGCAGTAGTAAGGGCTATCCTGCCTATCTAAAGAACCACACCGACCAGTAGCCTCATCCGAGACGCTGGCCTTCCTACAGCAGAGGTAGCCCTCGAAGCAGCGCGACTACGCTTCGCTATACGCCTGCAGAAGGTTAACCAACAGCATCCCTTGGTCTCAAGGCTGCTGCAGCCAGGGCTTTTGTTGTTGTTGTTGTAATTTTAACGCCGTAGCGGCAAGGGCGCAGCCGCCCTTGCGGCAGACCTCCCGAAGGGTGTATGGCGTGGAGGGCCGTAGGCCTATAACTATCACTAGATACAGTCCAGCTCGTCCTCCAAATCGTGCCCAAAGGCAACTGTGTGTTTAACCTGTCTCTGGGTGCCGCTGGCTTGCCCGAGACAGTGCTATGGTCGTCCCTAGAACGCAATTCCGCCAGTATCCCCTATCCTTCGACCCAGAGCCCGCAGGCTTCTGGTTTACACAACGTTCCAGTAACCGTCCGGAGTATATCGTAATAGGTAATACCGCCACAAGGGAAACCACAAGGGGCAAAACCTCGTAAGACTAGGTTGTAGGGCTTGCTGTTAGGTTCTGTAACGAGCATAGCTGTATATAGCCGTGGCTATACATCGCTACCCAATGGTCGTTTCGTCTCTTCGAGGGAGTCTTCGATCGTTTAAGGGGCAAAGGTGCTGAGAGAGCGAAGTCGAAAAGTCGGTCGGTGATGTTCAATTTGGGCCCGGAAGCGCCACTTGCGCCGGGAAAGAAAGTCGCCCGTCTCCTTCGGGAGGCTAGATGGAACCTCTGCTCCCTGCCCTACCAGGAAGACTTCGTCTAGCCTGCGGAAGGCGAATTCGAGTCGACGGCGGCTCGTTAGGTTGAATAATCGTCGGCTCGATTCGAGGGGAAAATGTGCGTTGTTAAGGGTTTGATTAGCGTATAGCTAATCCACCCCAGCGCGCAGCGGCAAACCGCGGGGACTGGGGCCCCTCAGCATGGCACTAACAGCCCGTGCCAAGCTGGAGAGATGTTTCGTGGAGGTTGCTGCAGCCAGGGCGGCAACAGACCAGGCTTTAAAGAACAGCTGGCCTCTTACCTAAGTGTCTAAGGCCAGCACTCCTACAGCCGCAATACCTCCTAGGGTCTGATGACCTTATAGTTATATAGACGAAGGAAGTAGTAGCTAGGATTTTCCAGGCCTGGCTCAAGACTGTACTAGGTAAGTATATAGTCGTATATTTAGACGGCTCTAAAGCTCTTAACGGGGCTACAGGGTTTGGCTTTATTATCTACCATAATAATAAACGTACAGCCCAGGGCTACGGCCGTCTTGGCTTAGTAGAAGTGTTTGATAGTGAGGCTAAGGGGGCGAGGGCTGGGCTCCGACGGGCCCTTTAGACCTCCTAAGGCTAGCCTATATATATCTATATCGATAATACTAGCGTTATTCAGGGGATTCGTAGTAAGGTCCTAGACTCCTTATAAGCGGCCTTCCTTGAGATCCAGGAGGTAGCCAGGATACACGATATATGAACCTATTGGTCTCCTAGGCACTAAGGTATTAAAGGAAACGAAGAAGCAGACAGCCTAGCTAAGGAGGGCATAACCCTACTAGTCCTAAGGGGACAGCTAGTAACCCTATTAGGGATTAAACGACTTACTAAAGAGCGTATATATCGCCAATATAGAAGATGGTGGAAACGGGAGGTAACATCCTGGTATACCTAGCTAGGGCTTAAAGCTACCCTTGCTTGCCCTCCGGAACTAGCCCTACCGTGGGCTATCTGTTGGAATAGGCCTACATTAGGCAGCAGGAGGTTGCTGCCGCGGTCCGTTCCAGCCACGGTGGTCCGTGTGGCTCAGCCACACGAGGGTGGTATACCCCAGACTTCCTGCCGCCGCTGGCACCTGGTTAGACTTCCACAAAAGAACAACAAGAACAAGCAATATCACCACTACAGTCGGTGATCGTTGCTACCCACGATACTCGAGTATTTTCCTTTTCCACCTGTGAATCCAACACTATCCTTTATCATCTCCTAGCAGCCCGATTAGGCTATAGAGACTTTGAACAATACTACTAACGCTTTAACTATACAGAAGCACTCCTTACCTGCTCCTGCAGGGAGGTAAAGGAGGTAGACCATTTAGTCTACTACTAAAAGACCCTAGTAAGGAGGCATCAGTGGCCTACCCTCCACCCTTCTAGCCTACTTGAGCCTATAGGACCTATAAGACCTCTAGAGCGGTACTACAAGGGGTTAATCACTGATCCTATAGGCTTTCAGGCCTTCCTCTGCGTAACAGACTTCTTCCAAAAGATCTGTCCGCGGTATTAAGGGCTAGGTTTGACCTAGGCCCTACGAACGAACCTACCCTTCTAAGGGGTAAATAGCAACAACGGAACTAGGGAACCAGCGGGAACTAGGAACGGATGGAACACATAGTAGCCCACGGGCGAGACTTGGAGGACGATAGGAAGAGGCGTGTACTGTAGAGTATATAGCTTGAGCCTGCGGCCCTCCACGCCATATACCCCTCGGGAGGTCGGCCGCAAGGGCGGCTGCGCCCTTGCCGCCACGGCGTTAAATACAACAACAACAACAGCGAGCTGCCGCTACCAATGAAATACAAAGTATGCTCTACAAACTGGGACGAGCAGGATGATGAATCCAAGCTTAACCCATAATTGCAAGGCCATAGGAGCAGCCAATAGAGCCGATTGCAACAAACACCACAACCCAGAGGTTGAAGACGTTCGGTATAAATCGAGCCATGGCAGCGAAAAGGGGGTTTGGAACGGGCACGGGCAAGGTAGAAGACAATTGTTCGAGTGATTGCAAATATCAATGTAGAGGTAACAGATAGAACCCATTCTTGTCGCTCATGGCTAGAGGACGGTTCTTATCATTGAAACCGGCTCTCTTCAGCAGCGATGTTGGGGCACATATGAGAAGCATTTCCGGGATAGTTCCACCCCTCAATGGCAGTTCAGCTCGGGTCGAGGCGGGGTTGGCTAGTGAAGACGGCGACGTTGATCACTCGTCAAGAACAACATTTACACAATGTCTCCCACCGGCTCCTGGTTCTGGCCATGTTGTGAATACTATGTGTACGTCTAAGCCGATCCGTGAGAAGATGAAGCGAGTCCTATTTTTTGGCTTAGTGCGGCTGCCGGCGTGGAGCCACGGCGACGGATCGCTTGATGGGGGGGGGACAGAAAATTGCGGGGGTGAGTGCGGGGCAGGAATCTGGGGTAAAGAAAACAAGCAAGGGAGCCCGCAGACTCGGCAAGCTTGGATGGCAAATAGATAACAGGTCCGCGACACCTTCATAACTACCTCGGCCTGCTGCCGAACACACTGCACTTCCCCCCTTGCCTGTTTCTCTCCACACCCACGATTTGACCGAGCACAAGTCGATGAGATGAGTTCGACTCCGAAGACGTCCAACGCCAGGCCTACGCTGGCTGCTACAGCGATGGCTGGCAGCACCAAGAGGAAGCGCTCTGCTATTGCATGCGTAGCCTGCCATCGGCGCAAGGTCCGCTGTAATATCGCCGCCCAGGGCCCGCCCTGAACGAACTGCTCGGAGGATGGCAATGCAACCTGCCGCATTTACATCAGCCGGGTCCCGGCTGATGTCCCGCCGCCGCCGCCGCCGCCTCCTCCGGCCATGCCGTCGCCCTCCAGTTCCTCACATCATTTGCCTGACCGGGGCGACGACCACCCCAGCCCCAACCCGAGCCCGGATCCGGGCCCGTCTTCGAAGCGGCAGTATCGTCCGACCAGTATTGAGAACATGCTATGTACCGCGCAAGACCCGAGTTATGCACGTGGCACCCCGAACGCCCCTGTCATCTACTATACTGGTTCGTTGTCTCTCCCATCTGCCTGGTTGGCAAGTTCTCTGACGCAGGAACTCGGGTCACAGGCGAGTCTGCCGGCATGGCTTTGCTCTTCGACGTTTGCTATCCTTCTCGTCCCTTGCCAGGCAACTTTTACATCATCCAGCGCCAGCGTCGTTACTTTCCCCCGGCACATACCACCTCTCCCCTGATGGCGCGCCCGCTGCCTGAACCGGCGGCCCTGCATGACATGATATGCTGCTATTTTCGTTACCTTCACCCATATTTACCAGTCATCGATGCGGGCCGTTTCATTTCAGCATTCGCCGACCAGCCAAGCAGTATCAGCCCCCTCCTACTATGGAGTGTCTTATTTGCTGCCGCTACGGTAGGGATCTGCCCTTCTGTCTGACCCTGTCCCTGTACGGTTGTTAAATGGCCAGGTTCTAACATGACACTATCAAGTTCGTCAAGCCAGAGCATTGGCAAGCTGCTGAGTTTAGGACCAGAAAGGAATTCCAAGAGGATATCTATCGACATGCCAAGGTGAGTTTTCAGTGCTCCCTACGGACATACAAGCCGTCGTGTCCCTGGCAAAGAACAACGTTTTCAAAGCATGCAAGAACAGAAACACTTGGTACGCCCTGATCAGAGATCCGGGTGCCTTTGAGAAGTTCGAGCGCTTGACGCGGTACTTCGAAACGCACTCCCTGTGAGGGGATAGCGAGCCCGAGATACCACGCCTCACACTTTATCATACACCTACCGATATCTCTTGGGCCATATCCCTACCCGTCATCTGTGGACGGTGTAGGGCTACTCAAGGCCCATTCGCTTCTGCCGAGTCAGGAAACCCCTGCTGGCGTGCTTTTTTGGAACTGAACGGACCCTAGGGATTAGCTAATAATCTCCACTGCTCTAGGCACGAGAGGAAAAGTGTACACTACAGATTGCCTGACTTGTCGTACGCTACTATGGCGGCACGGCACATCATATGCCCAAAGGGCGCTCTGGTTGATCGGGCTTAGTTAGTTAGATAGCTAGGTTCCTGTCCCTGATGATGTTAAATACTACTACTACTACTACTACTAAGAACGGAGACACTGACAAATTCTTACAAAGGCGCTCTATGACAGCCAAATTGAGGTAGACAAGCCAACAATAATCCAGGCTTGCATACTCCTTTTGTATCACCTCGTAGACCGAGAAGATCTGGACGGGCCGTGCCACTAGATCGGAGTGGCAACCGGTCTAGCACAGAGCATCGGCTTCCACCGAAAGCCAACCTGCGAACGAGTCCGGTCTTCTCCATTTTCCCAGTCACAATGCAAGATTTGGAAACGCATCTGGTGGAGTCTTTACTCCCGTGAGATCTGGTTGGGCCTCGGCTTTGGCAGGCCACTTAGAATCAACTCGGAAGATTGCGACATAACAATGCCAAAGGCCGCTGCAGTACTGAACGATCTTGACGGCCTTCCAACTACGCTGCGAGAAACCTACATTCCCTGCGAGTTTGAGACACTTGTAAATCTATGGATAGAGTTGTTGAACCTGTCTGTCGAACTAGAAACAATCCTACGACTCAACTATCGGCCTGGTCAACCACCCGCATCGCCCACGGCTCTCGAATCACATCACAGCATTCTGCAGGCGATACAGAGCAGAATCTGCGTGGATCTGGCGGGGGAAGCACCACTGCTGCTATTGCACCGCAGTATCCTCAAGATTTACCATGGGACTGTACTGATTGCTCTGCACCGGCCGTACATCCTCCTGCCAGCACAAAGTTCAAAGTCTCCTCTTGGGGAAAGTAGCATTCGATCTCTCGCGATGGACAGGTACACCACGGCCGCATCGACCATCACAAAGGCCGTCAACGACCTTGTACGCGCCGACCTCCTCAATGTTTCACCACCCACGCTCCCGACCTGCATCAATTCCGCCATCGGGGTACACCTACACGAGACGTGCCGCTCCGAGGGCATCGGCCGCCAGCTCGCATTGCATAACGTCAACCTCCACATGCTTGTCCTTTCCCATCTCGGCAAGATTTACTAAATTTCCGCCGAGATGCAGTATCGTTTCTTTCTCCAGATCATGAAGACTGCTGAGCCACTTCCCTCGGTTCAGAACACAAGAACCTCTCGTAGGATAAGCTTCAGTCGTGCGGGAACAGCAGCCGTTGGTACCCTGCAAGCTAGTGAGCCGCAGGATGCTACCCGTGAAGCAGCCGCGTATGACGTGGTTACTCCAGTATCTACGCACTCGGCACCCGTAGAGAGTCAAGACGCACTTCACGGTCAAACGCCCTCTTATAGCGAAGGAGATGCGCTCTTCGAGGATACAAACATTGATCAAAATCTCTTTCTGCCGTCTACTCTGTTCAACATTGACTCAACCCCTTTTTCCGAAGAGGAGATGGATTTCTACAGGCACTGGGGTCTGACGAATATGTAGGAAAAGATCTAGATGCTTGGAACATATATATCTGCACAATGTGTCGTCTGAAGACATGGGCCGTATCATGAGGAATGCTGGTTCTAGCAGTAGCTCTATTGTCTAGAGAGACCATGCCCCGACTATGAAAATTGAGAGTGCTGAAGATCCTTCTCTCGTCCTCTCCTTGTTAAATATCCCAACTTCAGAATTCTCTAGCAAACGAGAGTACAGTCGACATTCTCAATTCCATCTCACAGCTTGGATACAGGTTGAGCTGTGGTGTGATCTTCTCGACCTTCCAGGACTTGGGCATACAGTTCCGAGAGCCGGTCTCGATACAAGTCTCCGACTTTCTTTCGCTGAAGTTTGAGAGTCGGCGTAAGGGTTTCGTTGCCTACTGAGAACGGTTCGATGGATAGGTCAAAGTTCTTGACGCGCTCGTAGCTCGCAAACTTGTTGGTCTTGCCTACGGCCTCGAGATCCTGGAACACCCGAGCACGCACTGCGGCGTCACCACACGCCTCTCTGACGGCTGGCAAGTCCGACGATGGAACCACGCGGCCGAGGACCTGGGAGGCAAGAGCGGCAAAGAGCTCGGGGTCTACGCCAAACATGCCGACGGTGAAGGCCTGTAGGCTGTCACCATGAACAAAGGCCTGGGCAATGTATCTGCAGCCGGATAGATAGATGCCTTCGAGGCGCTCTGGTGATACGTACTCGCCTTGAGCGAGTTTGAGAAGATTTTTGCGACGGTCGACAATGGTGAAGCGACCCATGTCATCGATTGATGCGATATCGCCCGTGCAGAACCATCCATCCTCGGTGAAGCTCTCCGCTGTTTGCTCTGGGTTCTTCAAATACTCCTTGAACAAGTTCGGTCCCCTCAGCAGGAGTTCACCACGCGGGCATGGGACATCTTCGGTGGTATAGCCCATCTCAGGCACGGAGAGCAAGCAGGCTTCTGTCGATGGCACGAGACCACCGCAGTGCCCTGTGCTGGCATCAGCCCGATTTTGTGCCAATGCACAAGCGTACGTCTCGGTCATTCCATACCCCTGCACCACGCTAGATCCACTCACAACACTCAAGAACTTGTGCAATGCTGGGTCCAGTGGCGCGGAACCCGTAATCATTGTGTGTGCGCGGTCGAGGCCAAGTGCGGCCATTGTCTGCCGGCCCCAGATCCTATCATGAAGCGGGTGCTTGTTGGTAGGAGCTTCTGCGTTCTCGAGGTTCGTCAGTTTGGTTGCCACAATGTACCTGCTCACAGCCCCTCGGATCCCGGAAGCTTCGACTGTGTTCGACTTGAGGGTGCTACCGAACCGATTGTAAATCCTCGGAACTGATGGAAACACGGTCGGCCGGAGGGACTGCAGACCGTCTACGAGATTGGAAATGTCGCCGCTGAAATATCCCATCTTGGTCCCGCTGAAGGCGCCAATGTGTTCCAAAAGTCGGCCATAGACGTGAGCTAGTGGTAGATAGGAGATCATGACATCGTTCCCGGGCAGTCCCGCATCAAAGAGAGCGCCAACTGTCGCTGCGACTGAGCCCTTGTGTGTCAAGACGACGCCTTTGGGCGCCCCAGTGGTTCCCGAGGTGTAGTTGATGGTGGCTATGTCATCTGGCTGTGGGGGCCTCAATGGTTTGGAAGAGACTGCGCCCAATTGTTCAACTTCTTGAAGCGAATAGATCTGAAGGTCCAGCTTCAGAGCTTCCGTGATGGATATCAATAACCGGTTTCGCGACAGAGAGTCTTGGTTGTCCGAGTGAGACTGAACATCGTCCAGTATCACCAGACACTTGAGCTCAGGCAAATTCGGCTTGAGAGCGATCAACGCTGGAACATGGCTGAGAGAAGTGACGACGCACGTCAAGTCGGCGTGACGAATAATGTACTCTGATGCGCCAGGGCCCAGCGTATCGTACAACGAGACACTGAAAAGTGACTGCGACATGCATGCGAGATCGACAATTGACCATTCAGGTCGGTTTTCGCACCACAGCCCAACGCCAAACTGTTTTCCGACCTTGCCGACCCGCTCGTGAACTTCCACCAGGCCCTTGCCAATGTTGTTCTTGCGCTCCTGGACGGTTTTGAAACTAAGCCACTCCCATGGAAGATGGCATCGCCGAACGGGGTCGTATGGCCGGCGGCCTAGGTAGTCGGATTTTGGATTGCTCTTCGCACTCGCCTCGAACATGTCGTGAGCAGTCAATACATCCGGGCCAATGCCTTCCAGCAATCCATCCACAAACTGCCAATGCCTATACACATTGGAGCGGCCAGGTTGGCTTGTACCTGTGAGTGCGACCGAGTATGGCTGGTTTTTGGGTCGCGGTTCTCGGAGGTCGAGTATCCTTTGGACATGCGACGGGTAAGATATTGAAAACACCATGCTTGCTTCGAGGCAACGAGGGTAATTCTAAAAGTGGAGGACAGAGTGAGATTTAGACAGCAACAGGGGAGTGTAGGGCTTGCCGACAGGAGTTTGCGGGAGCGGTGCAGACCGGCGAGATGATTAAATAGTAGACATGGCAGTACGGATAAACATACCCTTGGCGGTGATGCGATTACTCGGTTAGATAAGGTAGGCAACGCAACCATTCATCTGCCCCGCGATGCTGCCAACTTGAGATAGCCTGTGCACGCCAGAAGGGCAAAAGCACTTTTGTGCAAAGCCTCGGCTTGGGGGGTCTGCCCCAGCAGAACGCTACCAATTACTTGTTTGAACGCGCGACTCTTTTTATGATTCGGTCCTCGCCTCATGAATCAGGCCTCGGGCTTATTTTCCAAGTAAATGTTACGGGTGGGTTTTCCAAGGCTGTTGCAGTTGCGCGTTGTATTGACTCGGAATTCCAGACTGATGGGCCGCTTCATCGCAAAGATTATGAGACATGCAAGCAGCCAGATTCCTACTCTGCCAATGACCAAAGCAGCTGTAGAGAGGGGGGTTTCATCCCATCGTGGCGGCATCGGTTCATCGCCGAGATCCCTGGATGGGCTCGCAATGCGGTCATCAATTATTCGCTGCCCTGCCGAGGCTAGGCCCATTCCATTCAATGCAAAGAGTAGACTCGGCCGGCCGCCAGGTGGATCACCCACTGCCGGAGGCCTGGACCGGATTTGAGTGGGGCCGGCTAGGAAACCTCGGCACAGCACAAGACTCGGCACTTCAAGGTTGCTTTGGATTGCCCCTGTTTCGGTGAGCTTACACCACCTGGTTGTGTGCTATACCAACATGACCTGAAGAGGATGTCAATTCGATCAGATTTTGGGACAATTGACCTGGAAAGAAGAAAGACAGCAGGGCTTCTGTCAATGGAACAGTCATGGAGCTGTAGTCTGAGGTAGGTCTCGTTGTACGTGGCACGTAACGTGAATCGTTAGCCTCATTATTCAAGTAAGTTTACATATTTATTTACATCTTTAGCCGTGATTATTAAACCGAACCACAGTCATTGTAGGGTCAAGGACACTTTACACAACCCTCGCATTCCTCCTTCTGCTCACGTCAGCCGTTTTATCCCCTTCTGGGTACCCCCAGGCATCGACACCGCAAGTGCCCCATCTCCGCCACCAGCGACACCCATACGACACTCCTTTTTTGGCCGTCCAGTGATTGTTTGGAGTCCTTCGAACCCGAGGGCGGCCATGCAAGCCTGTTGGTGTCAGCTAACAGCTCCTCAGACTCGAGTCACTCGGCACTATATGAGTCCACTCACATCTCCCTTTGTACTTCTTCGTCCTAGGACGCTTCGTAAACTTTTGGCACTCGGCACAGTATCTCCGGTCTCCCATCGACTCGCGAAGTCTTGCGTATAGCGGACACGTGGTACACGAACAGTGCCTACACCACTGCCGCCGGCAAATGGCGTGGTCGGCGGCATACGGTCGACAGGGCGCCCAGTTTGAGCATCTTCTCGGGGGCTCTGCGTACTTGTATACATGGCGTTTCTTTCGGTGCCAGTAAATTTCCTGGACAACTCCGACTGCCGAAGTGTCGCCGCACTCGCACTTGAGCACTTCTGGGGGGTGTACTTGGTCGTAGGAGAGCAGCGAAGGTTTTGCCGGTATCATTGGGAGCATCATGGCGCGGAGAGAGCATGATGCAAGGGACATGCAGATGAGATCATTTTGTTGACAGTGTGAAAGGATCTCAAGTCGAAGCTCAGGTGGGAGCTTGGTGAAGAGGGCTAATGAGAACTGTGCAAGTGGTTCTGAGGAGGTGACGGAGGGGGCTTTTCCGGACATGGCTCAAGAAGTTGAGATGATGTCAAGGTATTCGAAGACCTGTGGAATAAAAGAGGCGCAGATTGAACAATGATTTGTCCAGCAGTGTAAACTGATTATTTTCTTCTCGGGAAGCTCACAGAAAATGAGGTTCAGTCTACGAGCTTTTGTATCCGACGATGACCTTCATTGGACCCCTGTTCAGGTAGCTGTTAGCGTGTGCTGCCTGTTGCCAAGCCGGTCGGCCCCACTGCATCTGCCTAAACACCACGCGATAGACGGAAACGTTAGTATGAAATAGGACGGGAAAGACTTTGGGTGAGAGAGAGAACTGCATTTCTTGCCAAAAATGTTTCGTAACGATACCGTTGCTCAGTGATTCTCGATCATTACAATATGACTGTCTAACGTTCCGCCAAGCTGGGAAACCTCGTCGTCTGGCCCGAAATTACTCAGGCAATATCATCTTCCTCCGCTACATCCGATATCTGCTCCGCCCATTACTCCAATTTATTGATGGCGCAAGAATCCAGGTTGGTCATGAGGAGATCGTCACTGAGTCTGTCGATCATCGTCTCTCCAAAAACCTTTACGAGAGACAACAAGGAAGAGTTTATCGAAAACTTCCTGTCGATAGCGGCAAAGGGGTAGACATGAGCAGCTTCGCAGTATCTGGTGCCTAGCAAAGGGCATGTATCAGAGTCTCTCTGCTTTGTCTACAAAATATTAGCATACCACTGAGTTGAGAGAATATTGTCTAGCTCACAATTTGAACCGCTCGTTTTTTCCTGTACTGCTTCTTCTTACCCGGTGAAATGGGTGACCCAGATTGCGCAGTTTGATGTCCGCCTCCGGAACCTGCTTTCCCAGGAGATCCCTTCACAGGTGTCAAGTGTGGTCGTGGGCTGTTGCCGGTCTTCGTGGGGGTGCTTCTTGTACTATGGGTTGCCGGTTCTCTTCTGGGAAGCTTGGAGATTGGAGAAGACGCAGCAGAGACCACCTCATCAGAGTCAGAAGTGCTGCCTTTGGTGGAATTTGTCAGCGAGATGAATGGCACTCAATATTCTGGGAGACAGAACTTACTCAATGTCACAACGCTTTTGACCGCCCCGCTGATCTGTGCCATAGCATCCATAGCCTTCGACGGGGATAGCCCTTTCAGTGTGTCTCTGAAGTTTTCCAGCTCGACCAAGTCGGTGACCAGACATGCCGCCCAAAGATAGGGTGTCTGGAGGTCGGGGGTCATGGACCAAGTTTTACCATTGCTGCGAAATGTCATCCGCTTAATCTCTTCCAAGATTGATATCCGAGCATCGCAGTCATTCAGGTAGAGTTGCGAATTCACGGATGACCGGGAGGATCTGTGGAAATCATTCATCTCTTGGAGCTGTTCTTCGCTCATTTCCTTTTGGTTGGAAGATTCCATGATACACTTGATACGCTGTGTCTTCTCGTTCTTGTCTTGTCTTGTCTTGAGTAAGGTTCTCGCAGAGCTTGCGGAACAGTGTGTGCTTAGCCAAATCGGAGGTAGATGTAGACACAATGGGTGAAGGTGGGGATTAAGCTTCCTCCGCTGCGGAGTATCCTGCAGATACTAACTAGTTCCCTCGCACTTTGTGCTTCATAAATCAAAATGCTGTACAAAGTTAACAGTCGAAAAATCCAATGAACAAATTTGGACCTACCAACTTGAGTTGGAGCGCGGCACCAAGGGGGAGGTTGAGAGGGAAGAAACCAGAAATTCAAGTCGGTGGTAATTGCGGATGAAAAGGTGGCGAGGCCAAGTGACACTTTTGTGAGTGCACCTTCCGACTTTGAATATACAAGGGTGTAATTCCGACGTACCCGATGAAAAGGATAGCAATCAGCTCTGGTTTAGGTTATTCATCGCTCTGTCAGGTTTACGTTACCTGTCGCCATGGCGATCTTTGTCCTGCCTATGCCGTGTCTTGCCTACTTTGCGTCTTGCCTATCCCACAAGATTTGGTGTATTCTATAATCAAACCAGCGCGGTGGTTTTGGTATAAGTACGACAATTAAGTAGACATCATGTCTCCATACTACGAACAACGATTGAAGTGTTCTCGGCACTTGATTAATAAATACAGGTTACATATACCATGGGTATAAATACAAAGGCAGCAAGATCAGCGAGGATAGCGAGGATGTCGAGGGAAGTGAGAGTATACAGAGGCAGGATGAGGGATTGGTAAAACTTATGGAAAATTTGCCCCTTAAATATTCGTCTGTAGGCTAGAATCAAGCGCTTCATAGGCACTATTCACGAATCTTGAGTTTTCAAAATAGAGCCTCTTGATAGTCTTCAAGAAGAAAACTACTTGCAAATAGTCGATCATGGCAACGTGTGTACAGCGTGGCCTACGGCCGAAAGTGATCTTCAGCCCAACTTCGAACACGATTAAAGTTGCGGCATGTGTGAGGTTCTTTCCAGTCGGCAACAACCCTGCCAGCATCATCCGACCAGCTGAAAACCATGGGTGTCAGGTCACCGTGGCATTGCACCGTCTGCCTGAGGTAGTCGAGGCAGTGGTCTAGAACTGCAATTAGCTGCACTGCTTGTAGATTCGAACAGCATCATGGCTCACCAACGTGCATCCTGTGAATTCTGGGGCTTTCTTCCTCCTTGTAGTAATCTGGATCCAGAGCCATCCTTACTTTGTTCTTCAATATGTGTTAGTTGTCGTTGCCAGCAGGCCACGGGCTGGAGATACTCACCACGCAATGCAGGGTATGCATCACATCTAGACTAGAAATTCTTAGTTTCATTGCTGGAAACGCTATTTGGGAGAATGCGAAACATACGCTACTTCGTAGTTGCCATGGTCATCTTTCCACGTGCGCCCGACCATGCTTGATGCTTCGCTCCCAACAAGGTTCATGTACTGTCCTGATTTCGGTCAATGTGGTTCAAGGTCGGACTCCCTTGGTCAACTCACCTTTTAGTAGACTCTTCCATGCCGCGTCAATCTCTGGCGATGGAGGCCCGACGTATTGCGGCTGTCCTTCAACTATCTCGCGGTACAAGGTCCCATTTCTATAAAAGTGAAGACCGCCTGTGAAACTTACTGTTTCACTGGCAAGTACACCTTTGATTGGATCTTTGTCATTCTCAATGTCAGCTCGTGGTCTGCCTTTTGTTTGAGAGCACTGTCTGGCATACCTAGTTCGGTAGGGAAGCCTTTGAGGAAGCCGCTATCGATGCGAGCACCCTCCAGCCGAGTGTGTAGAATGAATAAGGCAATGACAAGCACAGGGGAAACAGCAAACAGTAGCAAGGAAATGAAGTAATAAGACCTAGAAACCGACACGATCGGCGACGAGGGTCTCCTTCGCAAAGGCAGCTGGTCTTCACTGCACTCGGAGCTCTCTTCCACAGAAACATACTGCGTTGACTTGTCTGCCCGGAAGAAGTTCATAATGGCTAGATTTTTGGTAGGAAAAACAGAAGTTTGTCGGGCGAGCACTTGGTTCATCAAAAGGAGGTTCCGGTCTTGGGGCTTAATGAACCTCGACTGCAACGACCACAAGGTGCCCTACGACTAATGTGTCATCCAATGGCAAGCAGAATCGTCCGGTTCATTTGACTGCAATGCCGGCAAAAGAATGCCGTTCAAGTGTCAGTTGCTAGAGAAACAACTCAAAATAGGCACTATTTCGAAAATGGATTCGCCGAACGCCCGGAGATGTCGTTCGTTTACGTCTCTGGCTAACAACTCAGTCCGGGGTGGAGCTGTTCGGGTGTAAGTGACGACTCCCTCCCGTCGAAGCTTTGACTATCAAAAGTCAAAACATGGGACCGACATAATCTCAATGGCAGAGGTGTGTTGATCTTGAGATCGTCAAGTTGACTCTGTTCGGCACTCAACTTCGGTCCTCGGATATGAGTTCATCGCCGATCGTGCTTCTCCATTGTCATGATCCATTCTAACGGCAGAATGGCGGAATTAGCTGAAGCCTAGAATATGGATCTTGGACACGGCGCATTTATGCGCGCTAAGCTTCTGTGCGGCGGGGGCTCGTATCCAAAGTCTAAAACACCATGTCATGCGGTTGTAGATGATTTTCTCATCTTCCGAGCCAGCCAAAAGTCATGTATCAGAGTCAGGAAATGAGTCTCGGGGTAAAGTAGACTCGAGTCGGGTACATGCAATGCCCCCGGGCCCGTTACCCCAAATTCCAAAGTCACCTCAACACACTGCGGCAGTGGGCAATCTCAAAGTCTTTGTCTCCCATCGCTTCTACAAAGGATTTTCAGAACCATCACTTACACACCTAGATTCATTATCATCATTTCAAGAAACACCATCCAATGTCTTACGATAGTGAGGATAGCACCCGTCCCATGCTCGCCGAAGATGAGCAAGAAAAGGAGAACTCCCTTTTCCCATCACCCCAGCTACAGCGACGCTATCAGCGCGAAGTTCTCTCCAAGCTCCTCATCGGCCTAGCCTTGAGCATAATCTTTGCCTTCTCGGTCACCTGGGTCTTTCAGTCCATCGTCCCGCCATCCCGCACCAACGCCCAGGGAATCATTGGGAACCCCTGCGGCAACTCATCCAGCGAGGCCCAAGCCCGCGGTTGCCATTTTGACGTGCTTTCTTTCTGCTGGGTGCCGGAAGAGTGCTTCGACCGCGAGCTGACGGATAAGTTCCGCAAGGCCGGGCCGTGGGTGTTCTACACCGACCAGAACAAGACGGCGTCCGTCACTGAGGAGCAGTTTGGCTCCAATACCCAGCCCGTCTACCTCACCAATAGGCTGCACAAGACGCACTGCGCCTACAACATTCTACGGTTCCACAAGGCCTTGACGGAGAATCGAATGGTTCACCGCGAAGACGTCTTGACGCACACGCAGCACTGTACGCAGGTGCTCACAAGGGTCAACGAACCGGACGACATTGAGGTCAGGGCAAAGATTCAGTACCCTGACTGTGGGCACTTTTCAAAGATGTTTCCGGGAAAGGCGAAGGAAGGTGTGCCTGGCCATCATCAAGGACACTCCCACATGGGGTGATGGAACTGGGGAAATTGTACAGTCAGACAGAGTGCCTATACTTGGACTAGTAAATCAAACCTGTTTTCTGGCTGTATCAAGGACAATCTCCCCTGCGACTGTATTCGACGTGGGTGCTCCCATAACGGGGAAATGAGAGAGTGACTGAGTCCCTCGATTTTGTCATCGGATATGCGCCCATCTTAGCCATTGAACGAGTTCGTTGAAGGCCAAAGTTTTGCGTTATACCTTTCTCTCATATCACAGTATTTGACTTGTACATTTCGTAGCAATATCAACACATCACAATGCGCATAGTCAGCCGAATCAGAGAATGCATGTTAGTTGTGCTCAAGCTGCGAATCTGTCTACTACCTAGGTAATACAATCAAGCAAGTCCCTAATGCTTCTCAGTCTGTCACCCTCCAACTCTTGGGCAATGCCCGCTCAGGCTCCTTTGACCACGCCAGCAGGGCATCAAAATCATTGCAAACATGCATTACCCCATGGTCAGCCACCCGGTGCGTGTCACCTTCAATGTGGCCTTCGGCGGTGGAGTCAGCAAAGCACATGAGAGCCTGCCGGACGTAGTTGAAGCAGTGCGCCTTGTGCTCCTCCCACGTGAGCGTGACCCCGCTGTGATAACCAGGCAGCTTCTCCTTGGGAACACCGACAGCCAAGAGACCAAAATCCTCCAGGATGGATGTCTAGTGAATAGGGCGTCAGTATTGCAAAGAGCAAAATGATCAATGAGATGGCTTACTAGACAGTGAATCTGATGGAAAGCGGCGATCTCGAACAAGTCCCCTGAAAACAGCTTCTGAGGCCCGCTGCCATTGTATGGAGAGGCTCGGACAAAGGCTGTTAGTCTTATTAGTCGGTGTTTAGAGCCTATTTCAATGCATGCTTACCATGGGAGAGGCTCTGCCAAGAATCAAGAGTCTCGTTCAGGACGCTCTGGTCGTGGAATGCATGGGCGGTGACCTCGTACTGATCAGGACCCGAAGGCTTGGGAATGCCCCTCGAGCTCACATCTACTCTTCAAGTCAGTGGCGTTTGGAAAGTTGAAGAAATGCGACTTACCATGTGGGACAAAGTGGTTGTAGTCGCTTCCCGCTGGCCAAATCTTCGTACCATCTGCCTTGTAGTCCTGTCTGAGAACAGCAGCGGTCGTCTCGAGAAGACAAAGGATGAGAACAACCTCAAGACAGCAACGAAAAATCTCACAACGTGACATGGCGGTCTTGTGAGCAGAGTTCCGCTCCATAGTGTCAGTAAATCCAGAAGAATCCGTGTCAGCGTCCGAGGAGGAGTTGCGCCCAAGCAGCTTGCTATTTTCCATGATGAAAGTGGGATAGAGACGTTCTGCAAACATGGAGAGTGAACAAGGTCTGTCTGAAAAGACGAGGGGCGGCTCGAGAGATGGGAAACTACAGAGTGCAGTAGATTCCTGCGGATTGTTGTTGTCCAGATGCTGGCACGGCAAGCCGCGACGGTCTCTTTCCTCGCCACCCAAGCTCCCTCTAGTACGTATCCACCTACCGAGCAACTCGGGTGCAAGTGCAACGTCGTGGCCCTGGTCCTCTCGCCATCAGGCATGAATCCGATGCCTGCTAGCGTATACGTCTAGTAGAAAAGAAGCTCGGGAACTACAAACAAGCTTTGGGGTCCGGGAGAGTTGGCTCTAGCGGGCCGTGTCTAATGATTACAGACTACGCGCTGCTGAACATCATGGTTCATGCCACCGGCCTTCTAGCATATTTTGATCAAAAGTCTAAAAAGTGGCTGCTGTCTTCCGCGTGTAGTTGGCCATGTTCTGCAAAGCACTAGTGTAAACCTTTACCGGAGTCTTTAGAGCTAGCCCCAGTTGTGTCATTGACCAGCAGGTCCCTTGTGGGAGGAGTATGAATATGAGCATGCAGACTTTATGGTCCTTGCAGGTAGATCTCGATGAACTAAGGCCTAAAGACTAATAGAACGTGTAACAGAGCGGAGTTAAAAGGGTGAAAGATGATCGGCGCGCTATTTCGAAACGTCCAATATCCCGGGGAGATAGTCTCCCCTCACATATGCACTAACTAAACCCCCCGGCGCGTCCAGATATTCAACCCGATCTTTTTGCCGCCTACCGCCGGAAGGCCGGCATGTAGCGTTCGAGCATCTCCGGTCCCGTCGGAATGTAGATTCCGCCAGAAGACAGCGCTACCGGCGACCGCTCGCACTGTCAGCTCTGTCTGGGCCGCGCAGTCAACCAGGTTGCACCACCGCTCATCCTCGACGCCCCAATCTACCGAAATCTTGGGGAAACGCGTCCCGCAGCTGGCGCACTCCACATCGAGGACGGCGAAAAAGGTCGTCTCCCTGTTTGTCGTCTGATTCCTAGCCGCGGGGTTCGCTGCCCAGTCGTAGTGATTCGTGTACTGCTGCCCCTCTAGGTACCGTGTCACTTGCAGGTCCTCCATCATGTCGAGGTCTACGTAGCCCTGAAACTCCGACGCGCGGGACCTGATGCATTGGACGACAGAATCGTCCGAAGACAGGTACGCCGTGGAACTGGTTCGTTCCTGCGCAGCAATGGATCGCCCGTCAGTGCTGATGGCGCGAGACCGCTGGAACCTAGGCTGACTGTCTCTCGAGTCAGTCAGCAAGTATACACCGAATTGTCTGCAACGGGGAGGAGCTCTGACGTACGCAATCTGCAGCAGGTACTGGGACTCCTCCAGAGTGATAAAGTTCTCGATATGCTGAATGAGTGGATCATACGACAACGTCCGTACCGTATAGCGCGGGCGCGGGCAAGACTTGCCGAGTGGGATCTGGGGGTCCGTCTGGGGCCGAGACTTTGCGGAGAGGACTGCTACAAGGACGGCCGCGGTGAGGGACATTGACAAGAACTGTTTGAGAGCCATTGTGCGAAGAAGGGGACTGATGGAACGGGGCTGACTGGAAGAGGTAAGAGACGAAGTTTGCGGTTAGGATTCATGGGGAGTTGAAAAACGCTAAGGCCAGGATCGTAGGCCCGACGGATATCCGCCTTATATGCCCGACGGAGAGGCTTCCCACGAGGCTTGAGAGAAGATTTGACGATTCATGCCTGAAGATGTGTCCCTGGACAATGAAAAACTCTGAGATTCTTCAAAAGGTTATGTTATTGATGATCTCGATCCCCGAGTATTCAAACTTTGTCAACCTGAAGTCCCCGAGAGGAGATGCAATCATCTCGACTTTCTTCATCGGCGGGCGGTGGTATAATGAGTTTTGAAAAGGTTGACCGGATCAACGAGTCATACTGTTTGACTAGAGCTCTGCCGTGGACTTGGAAGTATGGCGCATCACGAACAACAAGAGTGACGACGCGTCGACGCTGTCACGAATAGGAAGTTCACGACAGGGCGTCGAGTGACGAAAACACCCGTATCCGTCGGGCCGATGGCGTATACTTTGCATTGTGAACGGAATGGCGACTTCACTGATGAGTTGACAGTCAAGTTGGATGAGAAAAATGAATATTTAAGGGTGCTTTTTGTCCCGGAAGTAGCAAATATTCTCCTCACTCACTCATCAAGTCAAACACCTTCACAGTCTTCCAACCTTCATCAACATCTTCAGTCTTCACCTTGCCTCCAACACTCTTCTCCACAACACACCCACCCTTCCACTCATAACTCCAAACGCCATCATGCATATGACAAAGGTCACCGCCATTCTTGCCTTCGCCGCAAGCCTTGCCGCCGCCGCCCCGGGCGCTAAGCTCGCCGCTCCGGAGAAGCGTCAGACCACAGAGTTTGGACCCTATCCCGAAGATAACTATCAGGGCAAGGAGAACGACAAGCGTCAGACTACGGAATTCGGACCTTATCCGGAAGACAAGTACAACAGCAAGCGTCAGACGACCGAGTTCGGTCCTTACCCTGAGGATAGCTACCAGGGCAAGGAGAACGGCAAGCGTCAGACGACCGAATTCGGTCCCTACCCCGAGGATAGCTATCAGGGAAAAGCTAGCCAAAGACGCCAGACGACCGAATTTGGTCCTTACCCCGAGGACAAGTACGAGGGCAAGACGAGGCGTCAGACCACAGAGTTTGGCCCGTACCCAGAGGACAGCTACCAAGGCAAGAGCGCGAAGCGTCAGACCACCGAGTTTGGGCCCTATCCCGAGGACAAGTATGAGAGCAGCAGCAGCATCAAGGAAAAGCGTCAAACCACAGAGTTCGGCCCTTACCCGGAGGACAAGTACGAGAGCAACGACAAGAAGGAATAGAGCAAGTTCTCACCATCACCCTCTTCATCTCGTTGAGATGCTCCAGCTAACGCAATGAACTAAACTTTGCACCTTCTCGTCACCTCCACGAGTTTTAGACAACAGTCTAGAGTCAGAAAGCTAGTCTCACAGTGACGACAAGCATGAGAAAGAGGGAAAGAAACTAGAAAAGAAAATAACGTTTTGGGCGGGGAATTCAGGGAGTGTTGGTATTCCTTTCACAGGGAATTTAGTTCGAACCGTAGGGTCCTGGGGGTGACGAAGTATCAATATCTCTGTATTGATTGATTCTGCGTAAGGAGTAGAAGGGAGATTCCAACCGGAGGTTGGGTGGGTAGTCGAGGTCTAATTGTACTCCCTCGAGGTGGCCCATGCTCTGCCCTTACTCGCGGTCGAATTGGACTTCCAGTCCGACAGGGAGTACAACTTGAATTGTTGGGGGAGCATGTCTTTGGATGACGTGTAGCTAGCTATAGATTGAAACTCGTGTTGTGTCTTTTAAAAAGTCCTTCCTCGTGATATCTACCTCATGGCAGAGTGACTTGGATCCTCATGTTGGTCAGTGTGATCTCATCACAGCTGGGACAGGAGCTGTGATGCCCCATTGATCGTACTCATCTGAAATTAAATCACAGGGTACATGAAGACTCAGACCAACAGACTCAGTATGGCTGCTGAAATTCACAAGGCACACACGTCCAGCACCGGCCACATTCACGCAAGTCATAAGAGGCAAAGATTCGATATGACATGTCAACAGCAAGTAGTATTGCTCTACTCTTCCGCACGTCCGTGTCGTTCATTTCCAAAAAAAACATGTACAAGAAGCATGCTTTTTTTTTCGCAGCCGAGCCCACTTTCCACCTCCCGTCATCCAGTTCCCCTCCTTCCATTCTCCAGACATCAGTGACATGGCAATAAGAAGCGAAATTACATGATTTGTAGAGCTCTCGGTGACGTGGCAGCACGAGAAAGATTTCATGAGATGCGACGGCACGACGATTTGTCTCGCAGGACAAAACACGCGTGTCCGAAGACGTAGTAGATAAGAAAGGAATAAAATATCAAAAAACATTTGTGGTATCTTTCCGGCAAAGCATGCTGCGGTGCGGTAAAGACGTGTGCAAAGCAGCTATATCGGTAACAAAACAAATCAGCTGTAGATCAGGGGGTATGATGTTTGGCAAAGACGAGCCCGTGCCAGGTAACGACCGTAAGAATGTGTTTTCCCAAGGAACCAATACGCCGCCGCCTGGTCGTCCAGGCAGTCCAAGTGTTCCCATAAAGTCAGAGGAAAGTAGGGCACAGCGAGAAGGTCCATTATGCCTCCTCCATAATGCCGCCCTCGCCGCCACCCTCTTCGCGCCACTCACGACTCTTGCTCGTAAGCTTCTTCACACCCGCAACGCGGCCGGACCACAGGGATTCAATCGGCGTGCGGAAGGTAAAGGCTCGCTGGGAGCTGATGACTCCGATTGCTTGGAGAACAGCCTTGCGGCTGTCGCGGCCAAAGACGGCAGGATGGCTGATCCATTCGAGACTGCTCTCGAGCTCGTGGTCCAGAGCGGCAACGGTGTTGGCATCGATACCGGCACCGAGACCGAGGCCATCGTTGGACCGACTGCGCCCGATGCCAGTGGCCTGGTAGCCATTGGCGCCGGATGAGTTGGCTGATTGAGTAGGTGATGGTGTTTGTTTTCTGTCGGGAGTGATTGAGGGTGAGCCATCGTTCCCGGGGTGAGGGGTAGAAGGGAGGGATCTCGTTGGCGGTGCTGTCGGCGGAGGAATCGGAGGCAGACCGCCTTTTCCGAGTCCCTTTAGAATAGATCTGGTCTCGTTGAGTAGTGTGTGCGCTCGGTCGTGCTGGCCGCGTGACACGAGGGTCAAGGCGCGAGTTAGCATATCCGACGTAAGCAGCTCCATGCGCCGCTGGACGATGTGCGGGTGAGGGGGAATCGGAGGCGATCCTGCCCACGAGTTTTTGTTCTTCGCCAGGGCCGGGAGCATGGTGATGGCGAGCAGAGAAGGGCGGGGAAGGTGGGAGAGCGTGCCATCCCGGAGAATATCTCCCCATGTGAGGTCGGCCTGGATGAGAGGCACCTCCTCAACAGACGTAACCCGCTGGTCGTCGCCGTCGCCAGCTCCACCAAGCGCCTCCAGACCGGAGACGATGTTGTCCCAGGGATCCTGGGGCAGTTGTTCCTGGGACGTGTTGTCCGGCACAATGACAAGCTGCACCAAGACGTCGCGCTTGTCGCCGAATCTAAGATCGCCGAGGGAGGCCTCAGCGTCGCGACCCGTGGCGCGCTTGGTAATCTGCAAGGCACCGCTGATCTTGTGGAACTTGGCCGGAGATCCCTCAGGCAGCTTCAGCTTGAGCTTGACGTTTTGGTGAGAGAGCGTCTGCATGGCGCCGAGGCAGCCGGCAAGGCACTCGCGGAGCATCATCCAGTCCTTGACGTAGGTGTAAGACGCCTTGGTGCGGGTAGAGAGCTCAATCATAGTATCGGGCTTGTGCGTCATGCCGAGGCCAAAGGAGTGAATGGTGATCTTGGCTGCTTCGGCCCTCGACACAACAAAGTCAACGCTGTCGGCATCCGAAGTAGAGGCGTCGCTGATGAGCATAATTGTGGCGATCGGGTTGTTGTACTTGCGCTGCATGAGCAAGTCCATGGCGACATTCGCACCCTCAACCACGTCGGCGCGGTGACTCTTTTGCCCAACGGGTTTGATGGAGCCCAACACGTTGCCCCAGCCGGGCCACGCCTTGGTGGTCATGCCGACAATGGGCACGCCGCCTCCGCCCGATCCAAATGTGACGAGGCCCATCCTGTCTCTCTCGCCAAGTGTGTTGACCATGAATCTGAGGGCATCGCGAACGAGGTTGATCTTGACACCTTGCATCGACGAAGAAATGGGGACTACCACGACCACATCGATGGGTACGTGGATGGAAGCCGGCATTGTCGGGCTCCTCTGGAAGTTGGTGTATTCGGTGGGCGCCGTTGTGGTGGATTTGGGGCCGCCCCAGGATGAGGCAATCGACGACACCCTCTGCTGTCGCGATCCACGCTGCCAGTCATCCTCGTCCGTCTCGGAAAATTCTCCTCGGTCGTACTCTGGGCTGCGGACCGGCGACGTCTCGACAGCGTTCAGGTCGAGTAGTGCTTGATGCCAAAGCTTGAGCTGATTGCGGTTCTCGAATCGAAGGTGGAACTGGGGCAGCTCCGCGACGGAAAGGTTTAGTGTAAGAATGTTCTCATCAACTGCCAACCGGTTAGCGTCAAAGCCTCAATGAAATAAAGGAGCGAGTCTCACTGTTGCCCGTCTCCGAGACCTCGTTGAGGTGTTTCTTGATGAGAATGGATCCTTTCAGTGTGCAGCGGGTGGTCTTCTTGGGCATGCCGTTTTCGTCCCACTGCCCCGCGAGCGCCACCTTCTTCTCCTTTACGCAAATCAACATTTCAGCGAACAGGAAGCATTCCAGCTCCTGCCAGGATGCTTTGTCCTTGCCGACACGTAGCGTGCCATACAGCCGCAGTTTGCCGAATCTGGAGTGTGTCAGTTGTGTCATTGGCCGGCGGTATGCGAGGGATGTGTGCCAAAATCTCACCTGCTGAAATCGAGCCCATGCCAGTTGTCCACCCGGTTTCTCAGATTCTCGGTTTGTTCCTCCAGCACTTCCCGAGACTCGTAGGGATAAAACCGAGGCGCACTTCGGGCCGGGGATGGCGGTCGCGCAAACGCCTCGTCGATTTGGGCATTCACCGCGGGCGGGCCTGGCGGGGCTGATCCAAGATCTTCGGGATCGGGCCGCCACTTGTTGTCGGGCACTTCCACCGTAATGAGGCAGGTCAAGGTCTGCTGCTGCCGAGACCTGTTGATGGTGGGGAACTCGGATCGAACTGTCACAGTCGGTGCTGGAATTGGATTCCTCGTAATCGCGCGGGGGCTGCCCGGCGTAGTTTCCATTGCCTGGACGTCATAATCGTGTCTGCGCGGCGGGCCGCTTTGTGTGGTTTCTGGGTAGCCGCCAGACGACGCGACGCCGGTGGCCTCGCTGTCGCTGCGAGCGTGTCTTGAAGGACCGTACCTCTCGGAAGTCGGTGGCTGGCTGCTCTCCCTGTCGCGTCCAGTGCTTCGGGGCGCGCTTTCACGGGTGTGGGTGCTGGCCATGTTTCGCTGGTTCGACTCGATGCTGGTGGGGCGCGGAGTGGGCGTTGGGTTGTCCCATGGCGTGGCCGTGGGCGTAGGGGTGTGATTTGACCTAGTGTCGGTGGATGAGACAGATCGAACGAGGTTGCTGATTTTTTCTGCAAAAGAGTTAGCCATGTCTCAGGCGTGCAAGACATGAGCGTGCCCTTACCAATATCCAAGACATTGCCGCCCCGGCTAGTGTCGAGATGGAGCGGCGCATCGCACGAGGGGCAGTATTGCGATTCGAATTCGCGGATAAACTCGTAAAAGCACGCTTCGTGGGATACGTGCGAGCACGAGAATTGTAGAATGCGCTCTCCGCGCAGGGTGTGCTCCAGTGGCTCCTCACATACTGCGCATTCGCTCCCTACAAAGGTGCGCTCCCTCCTGTTGCGGCCGGCGCCGGATGCCATGTTGTTGGATGAGTAGCTGTCGCCTCTTCGATGTGCGCTGTCTCCGGATCGAACTGACTCGTTGGAGCGCTGTCCTGTGCCGCGAGCTATCGAGACGTCTGTGTGTAGATTGATTAGCAAGAGTATCTTGTTACAGAGATTGGACGTCAAAAGCAAAGTGATTGACAGTCGGTCGTTCAGACGGAAAGTCAATTCGCGGCGCTCAAGCAGTCACAGGTCGGAGTCAAATTGGGAGCCTACGTACTCTTTTCTGGGAAGGACGGCGCATCCGTCCAAGTGTTGTTTGTCCTTGTTGTGGTGGCGGTACCAGGACGGTAGGGGTCTTGAATGGCCTTGGGGCTCACAAGACCAAGATCGAGAAGGTGATTAGCC